GAAAGAAACAGTTTTTCTCAAAAAAGGAATTTTTTTTAAATTTCAAATTTTCTTTTTATTGTGATGAACCAAACTCGTGTAAACATTGCACTAATCAAATTCGAAAGTACAGCTGAATTTTAATCGGTGCAATTTTTACTCCAACGGCTTAAGCAATTGCAACGAGAATGCATATTCGCAAAGTCTCTTATAAATAATAAGTGTCAACTAGAACTAAAAGCTTATTCTTAAAAAATATGCAAAAAATATGATGGAAGGCTACAATCTCCAAAATAATTCAGCTAAGCAGTGACTTTTAGCAAAAGTCACTGATTTTAATTGCTTGTGGTCACCAAATTATTTTTATTTTGACACAACATTTTATATTTTGCTTTAATATTTAGATGTATAAACTTTATTTTAGGAAAATACTCTTCAATTGTCTGCTTTCAAAATTTTTTAAGAATGTTTTTCTTGAATCATGCAGTTCAATATTCTTTTTATTGGACTACTCTTCAATATTCTATTGTTAGGATTACTCTTCAGAAATTTAATCTCAAAATATTTTGTTAGGGGCCCGGAAAATTTTGTGGGCATTGGGCCTGAATTTGTCTTGATCGGTCCCTGCAACTTAATTCGTATAATATAATTTTTATAAAAAAAGTGATTAGAGAGATTTTAATTGAATAAAAATAAGGCAAGGTTTATTGTACTGAGAAGAAAATAAAGAAAAATATTATTTCACTTCATTTGATAAACTTTGAACTGAAATGCTGACAAAAATGTAAAATTTCAATTTTAATTCAGTTAACAAGAAATAAATAAATGGAATATAATCGTATTTTAAGAGTTGGAATAAAAAAAGGATGAGCTGGCCACTGAGAGAGGCTAGTATTAGGTGAGTGTAAATCTTTATTTCATATTGAAAATTAATTTAAGAAGCACACCAGAACTTGTAACTAATGCTAAAATCTAAATTTTAATATAAAAAACTTATAAAAATTTCTTTTCTTCACTATGGAGGGAATAAAACGCAGGATAGGCTGTTAGGTTTAATGTAAATTTTACTTAGCAAGGGGTAGAAAGACAAAAGCTTGAAAATTTTATTAAAAGAAAATTGAATAACGTATTTATTAATGAAATTAAAACTTTAATTATTAGTATACATTTTAAACGAGGAATCTTTCAAAATAAAATTTATTATTTTTTAAATATTTGATGAAATCTAAAATGCGCACGGTCTATATGCTTTAAAGCATTACCTTTAAATACTCTAACTACAAGAATACTGGGGAAAAAAATTCTCATCAACCTAGTATTATATAAAATAAGTTTAAAGCCTTTAAAAGCATTTTTTACTAATTTCTTTTAAGTACTGAAATAAGTACACAATTAATTTAAAAATGAGCACTCAAAATTCAAGCATTTATTTTATTATCCAACAAATGAATGAAAAACATTTCTATTTTTCAAACAACAATTAAAATACATTAATAGATATTATACAATTCTAAAGGTATAAAATTTAAATTGGTCTTAGCATATGGAAGCACATATTTGATATGTATTTTTGTTATTCTTTAATTAATTGTTTTGTACAATTGGATTGTCATGTTTTAAACAACAGTAAATATAATCATATATATAATTTTTTTCTACTAGAACATGAAGATAAGACATAACTATTGTACAACAACAATTTTCATAATTTTTAATTTAAACAAGAAAAGTTATATTATACAAACAGAATGACATTAATACAACTCAGAAACTCAATGACATAAACAACTAACTAACAGTTATCCCTCTTTATACAACTACATTTTATATTTGGGGATTACTTTAAGATTGATTAATGCGAATCTTTTATCGATTAATTTGAATTATGTTTGGCCGAAATCATCTGAATAAATAAAAAATATTTTAAAGCACAGTATACACAATAACAAATAATAGTATGATCATGTGTCATCGTAGAGTGACAGCCAATGGATTATAAAATTAGATCTGGAAAAAAACTATCTGCCCTCACTAAAAAACGGTTTATAATTTCCATAGATAAAATGAAACCATCTTTTAATAAAATCCAGTGGGTTCGTGCCCATTGCAAGATTACGGGTAATGAAAATGCAGACTACTTAGCAAAAAAGGGAGCCTTAATTATTCAGACTTCTACACACATTATGCCCTTCTGTTCCATCAAACAGCTTATTAAGAGGACCTTTAAGACCTGTGATCATGAAGAACTTATCGACAGTACTTCTACAAAGTCTTGGAGGGCTACCATTCTAAATTTGCGAAATGGCCTAAGACGAAGAGCGGTGGCTGAATTCCGCTTGGCCCCCGGTCATGACTGTCTGCGGAAACATCTGTCTAGATATGGTATCATTTCTTCCCTGGTATGCACTCTTTGCAGTTCTGGTGAGGACATGGACACCTTCTCCGCTGCTCTGCACTTTACAGGAATTCTATCACTGAACGCTATTGGGCAGCTAGAGACATGTTGTGATTAATAGACTCTGTTGCAATATCTTTGTTTCTGTTTTTATTTTTTTTAGATGTTTATGTATGCTGTTACTGTCTATAATCTGCCATTGGAAATAATAATAATAAAAAAATATTTTAATAAAATCAATATTATCTTTATTAAATTAAAATTTCTTGAAATTATATCTTCTATTCATGTCTTTTATATTTTGAATTTTAATCCCTTAAAATGTTTTAAATATCATAAAAAAAATCTAGTCTGCCCACTAAAAAAAGGAGTTGTAGTTAGCATTTTTCGTGGAAAACAAAAAGCTAGTGTTAAGAAAAAATGAGTCGTGGAGTAGTGAACAGTAATCTGATTCTACAATGAATTTAAGAAAAGAATTGGCCCATGCTATTGAATGACATAAATATTATGAATGAAGAATATCCTTCTGCTAGTATTTTTCAGTATTTTTAGAAACAAAATTACATCATCATTTTACAGATCAACAAGATTCAGGGAATCAAGGTCTTGTTCATTAAGTTACCAAATCTAAATTAAAACAAATAAAATTATGTGAATTTATATATACACAGAGATGCCAACTGCTTTGGTCACACCAAAATAATTAAAAAAAAACGGTAAATAAACTACTAACAAAATTTTGCAAATATTTGACTAATTTTGCTTGCTTTTTAAAAAGTATAGCATGCCATAACTACTATGAAGTGGTGAATTATATAAGCCTACGAATTATTTAGAAATAGTGGTGGATAAAAATCTACTAAATTGAATTTATTAAACCAAGAATCATAATTGATAAGCTACCACTTTAAAATATTTATTTGCTGTCTGGAGCAAGTTGACATCTCTGTATATACCCCTTCAAAAGCAAAGCTCATGTGCATTTGTGAAACATTGAATATTTATATATAAATATTTTTTAAAGCATTGAATCTTTTTTTAAAATTAGCAGCTATATAAAATTGAGTCATTATCAGAACCAACAAAATTTTAATAGAAAGAAGACACAATATACTTCCACCTTTGATGATCAAAATTGAATTATATCATTCAGTAGTCAATATTACATCAATATAGACCTTTGAGGCACTTATTTTTCAAAATAAAAATTTGAGATATTTTCAGTTGTGGCAATTTCATTCTATGAGATCAATAAGATATTTCTGATTAAATCTTATAAACATCCAAATTAGTGTATAAAGTTTCAACAATTATTTAAAAAATTCGACATAATATTATTGCTATAAACAGCACTATGCAAAGAAATAAAAATCCAAACAGTTTTTACAAGCTTTTCTTTAACAAAAATGCTATTAAATAGTAAAATAGTCCTTAGCAGGGAGAATAGAGTATAATTTTAATCTTAAAAAGGTTAATAATTGAAGCATTAAAAAAGTTAATTTAAAAAAGTTCTACATTATATTATTGTTTTAAACAGCATTATACAGAGCAATAAAAATCCCAAAAAATTTTACATACAAAATTCAAAATTGTATATTACAACTCTCTACTCTCTTTTTGTATATTAATAATCTTTGTATGATAATTAAAGATTTTTTCGAAATTGCAGTAGATTGTTTGGCTATAACAAAACTGTTATTAAATAATAAAATAGTGCTTAGCAGGGATTTAGATAATAATTTTAATGTTAGAAAGGTTAATAATTGTACCATCAAAACTACGACACCAAATCTTTTGACAAAATATAAGTACCTTTTAAGTACTTTTTAAGCACTTAAAACTATTTTTAAGCATTATATACACTAACAAAATGCAAAATAATTTTCAAAGACTTTACATGATCATGATAAAATAATTAATTTCTGACAAAGAACACTTTTCTTGATTATATTAGCCACTATAAAAAGATCGAGAGATTTTTTTGTTTTGGGTGGAAAATGAAGCCTGAAATTATGAATACCTTTCAAAATACACATGAAAGTTTGATAGTGCAAGACTCTCTCCGAACCCAACTCAGTATACACACATGCGGGGAAGCAAGTATTTCATCAAACATGTAAAATGATTGCCGTTTTCATACACGACAGAACGACGGTAAGCCGAAATGCATTGCATAAACGTTGAAAAGAATAATATAAACAATATCTTTTTGCATAATTTGTTTCAAAAATCAAGATGGAAAAGAAAAATCTCTCATTTTGAAAAAGGGAAAACTAAGCACCTTTTAAAAACAACCAATGAAAAAAGCACATTTAAGGGCTTTTATAAAGCTAAAATAAGCTCCTTTAAGGACTTTTTAAAAACGATACGCACCCTGAAAAAACAAAGAAAAATTATAAAGGAAAAAACTATAATAAGTATCGAAATGAAACTGCAATAATATTAATCTAATCTAGTGTAAATTAAATATGTACCCACGTAAAGTTTTATCCAAAATGTTTTGCCTAGATATTACAAAATAGGAAGAAATTATTTCCATGCAAAAATATAATTAATAGAACAATCAACACACACAATAAATAACTAATTTTTAAATAATAAATTAAACAAAAAAGAAACATAAAAATCTATCAGAACAAGCAACTTTATAAAGCTTTCAAAATACAAGAATGCAGATATGCCCATGCAAGTCTACTCTAAAATAGAGAGCAAGTAAAAGAAAAAAAACATAGTATATGTATGAATAACAATATAAATAAGGGTAAGCGTTTGGGGATTATTTTTCTCAAACTTCGTCACATTTTTGCAAAACTTTATTTTAAATAATTTATTTAATAAATAATGGTAATAAAATACATATTTTACAAAAAGTATTATTAACAATAAAAATGTAAATTTATAATCCTTTATCAATTATGTCATTTGCAAATAACACAAAAAAAGAACAAAAATAATTAGTTGCATAGGAACTAAAGTATGGAAAACTATCATTTGAGTAGAATAAGCCATGATTGTAATTCAATAAGTCAGGAATTTTTCAATCTTGTTTATGCTCACTCATTTATTTTATGTCTACAATTAGCTACTAGTTACGTATACTTTGATTTATCTATACATTCTAAAATGTAGAATTTATAAAAATAAACAGTATTTGGAATTCAAACAGAGAAGCACAAGGTAATAAATTATATCATCTATTTATGTTTTAAATAATAGGTAATATAATTTGTTATGTAATCCATTTAATATTTTAAATATTAAAAACAACATATTTTGGGACATAAAAGCTAATAAATAGCTAATTAATTGTTAAACTTACTACATCTACAAAATTCTTCAATAAGTTAAAAATTACACATGAAACAATAAATAACAACTTAGAAGAATTACAATACAACCATTAAAGACAAGAAAACTTGGTTTCATCCTTTATGCCTTAATTAATTTTAATCTTTCAACAATAAAAATTTATGAATTTATATTTAAATAATAATTTTTTGAATATAAGGAAAATTGATATTTTATAATGCTTCTATAATGCATCCTTTTCAACAATGTTCAGATTTTAATTACAATATTCAATTAACCTTTTAACAATATTCAGATTAAAAGATCTAGTTTTCAAATTTATTACTTCTAAATGTTTGATCTACAAAATTTATGATCCATACACACGATGGATTAACTTCAACATCAGTTTCTAAGTTCTGGTACTAATCATTATATATTTATATTTTATGTACTAAGTTCTGTATAAACATACTTAATTTTATCTAAAAAATATGCATAATTGTTAATACTTTTTTTAAAAACTATTCATCTTTATCAGAACAATTATGAGATAGTTTCAAACCTACGTTATTTTCTCTAATGTCTTATAAATTTTAAATTATATATAAACTAGTATATCTGTAATACACAACAATCTACAGCAATAGATTTTTCTCATAACTGTATGAAACAAACAATTTAAATAAAAATAATTGTAAGGAAATAATCTTTTAAAAAGGTGCAAGTATATGGAAAGTAACCAATTATATATTTTAAGTAGTAATAAAATGCAACAATAACAAAAACTATCTAAGACTAGAGTAAAATTAGATTTTAATTTTATAATATTAAATACTTGTCTTACAAACATAATTATCAATATAATTAAAAGATATCAATTTGAATTACACAGTGGAATATTTATAATTTTATAACACTATAACTTTCAAATATTTACAATTTTAATAGTTAAATTTTTCATGGAATATAAATTTCATATGTAAATTGTAAAGAACAATATTAAAATAACTTTTGATTTAGAATTATTTTTAAAAGTCCTTTAGTATCAAAATATGCAATGTGACAGTTTCTCATATTTGTTATCAATTATGTCAGTTTCTCGTATTCAATGTTGACAACAAAGTTTAAAACATCACTGAAAATTTCATTGGTGAGTAAGAAGTGTTAATTTTTCTGAAATTTTTTTTACGAAAATTAGCAATATTATAATGAATTAAATAAAATATACTGGCATAATTAATGTATGGTCTTACAAGCAGTAAAAAAAATTAAAATTTACATTTGAAAGACATGTATATGTTAGGAATTAGCTTTTGGTTTTTATTAGAATTTACAGTTACTTGGTAAATATAAAGTAAAAAAATGGTTTCTAAATATTTATAATAACAAAGATTTGTAATTTGTAGTAACTGCAAATAAATAATCATATTTCAATTACTTTTAAAAATCTAAAGAGATTGCACAAAATGACTTTTAATTACATCCACTTAGAAATTTTATTAAGAGTATAAAACTATAGTTTAGACTTTTATTCAGATTTTTCTTTTAAAGAAAATAATAAAGATGGAAAAATATATACCCATTATGTATTGTTTCGAATAAAAAAAATTTTTTTTTGTAACTCGTATTAATTTAATAAAGCAAAGAGTAAAAATTTAATTCCCTAAATCTTTACAAATTTGAGATAACTTATTATGAAATTTGATTTTTAAAATATATATAATAATTATATATTTCACAAACAAATGCATTATTTCAAAATATTCCTTTAAAAACTCACTACATCAAATAATTAACAGGTGTTGACAACTTTTAACAAACAATTCATTTACACAATTACTTAGTTCAAAAATACAAAAATTATCAATATAAACATATATACTTCTATAGATATTCTTAGTGACCAGTTATATCACATGCAAATAATGCAAGCCATAAGCACCAAAATTTAACATGTACAGGCTATCACATCATTGCAAAATAGTTAAATAATTATTAGCTGCAAAAATCACAGGATTCTAGGAATGTAAAAAGCTATATATCATCATTAAAAAACACCCAACATCAACTGTATCCTTATTTTATTTCTTCCCAATCCCAATTACTGGGAACAATCAAATCTGTATTTTGTATATTCTCTTCAGAACTATTTAGTTCTTTACATTTCGGATGCAAAAAAGTTACAGGAGATAGTCTAGAGGTGGAAGTTTTTAGACCAGTAGGGTTGAGTAACAGCATAGAGCTTGTACTGGATCGACTGAGGACGCTATCAAGGGAACACGATCTATCTCTTTGCATGGAAATGTCAGGCACTGTTGGAATACTTTGTTGAAAATGAATATCTCCGCAAGATTTTGAGTGGAGCATTCTTTTATGGCGCTTCTCCCCAATTTTGTGACGAGTAGGTATTTCTGATCTGGATTTCCGAAGTTTTGAATCATCAACAATCTCATCTATTGTACGAACTCCAACGGCTTTTAATATGACATCCATTTTATTAGAATAATCCATATGCCCAGATACCTAAGTAGTACAAAATATAGCTTACTTCAGAAGTAAAGTGAATTGCAAATCAAATCGGGAATGAAATCTGCAGTTTAGAAGATACACAGTTTAGAATTACAAGTTTTGTCACATTTTCACAAAATTTAATTTTTAATTTTATTTCATAAATAATGGTAATAAAATAAATATTTCATAAAAAGTATTTTTAACAATAAAAATGTAAATTTATAACCCTTTACACCTAAGTAGTAAAAAATATAGTTTACTTCAGAAGTAAAGTGAATTGCAGATCAAATCTGCAATGAAATCTGCAGTTTAGAAGTTACACAATTTGCAATTTGAATCAAATTAAAATAATTCAAAAATAAATTTTAAAGATTTACTCCGATTATATTCAAATACATCAAATTGCAACAGTGTTACAAAAATATTAGCATTTTTTGAAAATGGTAAGGCCATCAATTATTTATAAAAAAAAGGCCAGGTTTTATAAGCTTAAGTTAACTTTATATCTTTTTTTTCATAAATAGTTATTTAGTAAAGAAAAAGGAATATATTTTTTTATGAAATTTATTTAAAATTATTTTTCAGATGTTCATTATTGCAGCATATGGCAATTAGCTAATGTAATGGAAACAATTAATAGTATGGAACGTATATATATATACATAGTTGATAACCTGGAAGTCCTAGTTTTACAGAATATTAAAATGGTAAAACAGACTTCATGTGTTTAATATTGCCTGTATTTTAAAAACTATCTGCACAATTAATGGGTTTTATTTATGTGTTTAAATTGTTTGTGTGTAGTTGGGGACAAAGTCATTCAAAATTAAATTCATTAAATAAATAATAAAATGTTAATTCATGAAATTTCTACCACTCTAAATATGCAAATAAAAATGATCTGATAAATAGGGACAAATTGGCAGATGTGTAAATTCATATATGTATGCACACACATGCCTGCACACACACACAAAGATATATGTAAAAATATTCTAATGTCTTGCTGGTTTTTGCAGACAAACAAAGATAAAACAGCCTGAAATATAAATCTTTTAAAAAATTTAGTTTTTATATAGCAAAGCTGTTTTAAGTAGAATACTACATATATATTTTAAAGCTATACATTTAGAATGGTAGTATAAGGCACTTTAAAAAATTTTCTAAAAAGGTTTTTTGTATATGGACAGAGATAGACTTTCTTTCGTTTTAAAAGAAAATAAATCTCATTCTTTTATAAAGACTTGCTTTAAACATGGTTGGTTGGTTCTAATGCCACTTGCCACACGGGTAAGCCTGCTTGGTGAAACCGAGCAAATTTAAGGCAGAGTGTGTGATTCTTGTTTTTCAGTGGCGCCATCTATGGCCAAGAATTCGACTTCTGCCACACCATACGTCACATCTGTTTATAAGACGGACCCATTCATACATCCATTCATTCATCCACAGATTGCAATTTTGACCTGAATCAGCGAATGATTGATCTCCAATCCAGTACCCCCGGAGATATTGATTTGTTATGGGAACATGGAGGACTTTTGAGACTCGACAGATTTAACGTGCATCAGTCACTTTACTACACGGGGAGTCTTCGGCCGGCAGGGTTCGAACCCACGAACTCTCGGACATGGGCCCAGCACCCTACCGACCAGGCTATCCTAGCCTTTGCTTTAAACATTCTTCATAGGATTGAATTTAGCACCTATTATAACTATTATGTTCAACAAAGCCTAGTGTTTATAGTCTTCCTAATCTCACTGAACTTAATTTGATACATGGTGTACTATCTGTAAAAACCTTATATAATTCATAACCCTCATTGGAGTTAGATTTAATAGATATTTGATAAAACAGACCATTAAAAAATAGGCATAAAAATAGCAATTTAGTACACAAGATATAACCTACAAACATCTTTATTATTTGCACTTTTATTGCACACACCAAAACTCACTTTGAGCATTTGAAAACCAAATAAAAAAAAAATTCCAAGAAACTTACCACACTACTGAGATCAACGTTACACATTCTTCTATCATCCCATTTAATTGGTTGTAAACCAGCAATTTTCATTGTTACAGATGATGTACGATACAGAAATTTTAGAAGCCAATCTCCTCTGGAAAATCATTTGTATCATAACTTTGTATTATAATAATCATACTTTAGATAAAACAAAGTTAATTTTATTAAACAAAGTAGATTTTATTAAAAAATGTCTCAAGCTCTGTTCAAGATTCTAATCGAGATAAATATGATCCATGATGTTTTGTTTTTTGGATTTTTTTAAAAAAGAAAATGCAGTTGAGAAGGTACAACTTCCTATTTGAAAAGTTGTATATAAGTTTTGAAATAAATTTACAGAACTCATATCATACTTTCTATATTGACATTGTAGCGTCATCACGAAAGTTTCATTAAAATGCAAAGCAGCTGGGAGAAGCCGATCAGCCAAATGCAAATCAGCTTTCCTGAACGGCGCATGACTACACTCAACGAGTATAAAAAGGAGCCCGCCATTGGTCAGCATTCCACTTTGACTTCAGTCCTCACCTGGAGATGTGGGCCTGACCTAACCAGCCGAGTCCGGAAGTATTGATGCCTCTTCTACTTACTTAGATGGTTGACTTTACTTTGTTAATACTTTTAGAATTTTATTTGTTTATAAGAAAATAAACAAAGTTATTTTTATGAAAAGTTTCTGGTGTCTTCTAATTGCTAAAACATTATAATGCATAATTGCAACCTAAACTATTACACATTTTTTCTAAAAATGTATCAAGCGATATTTTTATCAATGTCAGTAAGGTAGCTGGCTAACGTAAAAATCTCTGTTCCTCTAAGTGATTTTAGTTGCTGGAAGAAATACATAAATTCTTAATAATGTATATCACGGTTTATAAATCAACCCCTATTTTTGGGTTACGAGATAGCGAATTTCTGATATGTAGGATGCATAAGTCGACCGCTGAAGAAACAAATAATAAAAATTTTTAGGATTAAAAAACATACAAAATTATGAAGTCTGAAATATATTTTTGCAAGTAAAAAATATTGTTCTCTCTGGAAATCTTTTAAGAAGAGTGGAATTTCAAAAATGATCGGAATTTTTATATGTCCTGGGCATGTCAGGCAATATTTTCAAGCTTTGCATGCAACCAAGAACTGTAATAAAAGAAAATGCAAACCTGCAGTATCCATTTACAACTCGCCCACTCACAACTTTGGAGAAATCTTTCCAAATTTCCACATCAGCTGTAACAGGTGCACCTAGCAATATGGCATCTTCAATAATACCCTCACAACCTAAAATAGGTATAAAGAAAATAAAACATAGCTATGATAAAAAAAAAATAAAAAAAACTTTCGCAATTGCAAAAGTTTAAACTTTTTTTATAAAATTTAAACTCACTTACAAAATGTTAAAAAAAATAATAAAAGTTCATTCCTAATCATAAAAATCCCTTTCAAATTAATTTAGATAGTAAATATTGATGCATTTTCTAATTCTTAAATTCATAAAATAATATTATAAGAAAATTCATAAAATAATATTATACTTTTATCGATTATAAAACGTAATGAGAAAATATTCTAAAATTGGTTAATGTTTAAAATTTACCTTTAAGAAATGAAAAATGTTAAAAAAAGTAGCATTTGTAATTTGTTTATACTCTTATTTTATAAATGAAAAAAAAAAGAAAAAAAAAAGAAACAGGTAAATGCTTACCTTTTCTTTTGGACATTTCTTGTAAACAATAATAAATTACTCTAGCACCAAGACTGAATCCTATTAATGTAATAGGTCTTTTACCCTGAAAGCAAAACAGCTTAAAATGTAACATAATATAATTTAAAGTTACGAGTATAATAAACAGTTTCTCATAATATATTTTCCTAATATATATATAAAATTACATAATTTTAAAAAGAAATTTAAATAAGAGTTACTTAATTTCTTTTGAAAATTTTAACACTATTTTTGAGTATTAAACTGTAAGTCAAGAAATGTTAGTGTTTGTGGTATAATCAACATACTAGGTTTAAATACCGAAGTTCCTTTGTACCTGTTAAACCTGTAAGTTTCTATACCAAACCTAAAGTGAACTGAATTAAAATCAATGAAATATGTATATATGCACTAATGAAAAGGTCTGTTCTTTCGCTTTTTCACTTTTTTTATGTTCGACGTCTGGGATCCTGTATGATGTTACATATGATTTAGTTATTTAAATTTAGTTATTAAAGTTAAATTTAAATTTGGCATTTTTTTTCTTCATCTTTGATGATTGATACCTATGCTGATAAAAAACACACAATCTATCTCGCCAAAGACACGTGATGACCCGGATGTGATTACACCACAGGTGTATTGAAATACATTTGATTTCATGGAGGACTTTTTCAGTAAAACAAACCCAAACTACACAGGAAAAAAAAGTACAAAAGTGACCAATTATCTAGCTTCTAGAAAATATTTTGTGTTGAAGTTGTAATTTCAGTAACATGAATACAAATTTCATAACTGAGATATAAGGTACAATAATCTGCTAAAAGTGCTTGAATTCAACATTAATGAAGTTTTGTATTCAGACTCATGATGGGAAAATGTATTTAAAGCATTTGGGATAATACAATAATAAGAATCATATGCTTAAATTCCAACATATTTTCACTTTCTCTTGCCATATTGTCACTTTAAATATATTTTCAAATTGTTCAGAAAAGCAATTTCGGTTGCAAACACCCTAATTTCCATGTAAGCGATAGGATGTTTTTGTGAACTGTTTTGTTATAAAATCTGGTAGAAACTTCAGAAACTTGCAAAGTAAGAATACCTGCCAATCAACCTGCCTAGTACTTTGTAACCTACCTCGAAAACTAAGTAACTTTGATGTAAAAATGTCACTTAAAAAAAAGTATGACACACATTGCTCTAAGCCTAGGAACTCAGGAAACTTTTAGATTGAAGCCAAAGTTTGTCAAAACAAAAGCACAAGCAATACTACATAAACAAGTACATTACAATTTTATTTCTATAATGAAAAACCTTTATTGTGTTCAAACACAAAATGAAAGAAAATATGCTCAAGAATTAGTTTTCTCAATTTTGTTTTGGATACTGATTAAGGATTTTCATCATAGAACCATTGCAGTATGTTCGTTTATGAGATATTATTTAAGCTTTTGCAGCATTGTTTTATCCATACATTGTAAAAAATGAACCTTTTCTTCCAAACAGATACTTTTTTATTTAGTTTGGAAATAGGTCCTAGGTTGGGATAATCGGATAATCAAGGTTTCACTGAATATTAGAACAAAAAGTGGAAGAAATGTTTGAATACTTGTTGCCTTTCCAAAAGTACATCAGCTAAATGTCGTCCAACTTGAGCAGATCGTCTCAGACATACTCCCCAAGGATTGTCAATTACTCCAGAAACTGTGACGAGTGCAGCAGGCCATGTAATTGCAGCAATTAATCCTTAAAAAAATAGAAATGGATTTTTTAATAAAAATCATATGAATGAAAGATATTTCTTTGGCACATTTAATATGATCATAATACAAAGGATAAATAATATCATACTGAAATATTGTATGCTTTAAAGAAACAAATTCTAACTACCAGATAAAATTGTGTATTTCAACGCTTCTTGAGCAGCCATAGACACTGCAAAACTAAACAAGTAATCCATAGCTCTCCCCAGTTGCAAGAGGTAGTTTGATTCATATCTTAAGCAATATTGTTCTCGAGAATGCATAAGGGTAAGCCAAGGTTCTTGAAATGCTTCTAAAAAGCAAACACAATTATACAATAAGTAATTACATTTCAAGTAAATAACCTCACTTTTAAAGTAAATAATTTCTTCTGAAAAGTTTTAATACAATCAAAAAAAAGTTTTCCTTCGAATTAATATTACCAGTATTTTATAAGTATAAAAAATTGCAAAAAAAGTGAGAATGAAATAAAATCTTAAGCCACATTATATAATATAACCACTTTAAATATAGATAATTTCTTCTGAAAAGTTTTAATACAACCAAAAAAAAGTTTTCCTTTAAATTAATGTTACTAGTGTTTTTATAAGTACAAAAAATTAAAAAAAAAATTACCATGAAATAGATCATTGCCATATTAAAATATATAATTATATTAATATATAATTATGTGTATTTACATTAAATACACATAAAAATATATACAAAAAAAGCTTTCCTTTAAATTAATGTTACTAGTGTTTTTATAAGTATAAAAAATTGTAAAAAAAAATGACCATGAAATAAATCATTGCCATATTAAAAAAAAATTGTATACATACATTTTATTATTACACTAAATACATATAAAAATAGTAATCAATAGAAAGTTCTGTTGAAAATGTAAGTAATAAAATTGTAGTTTTTTAAATAAATATAGAAAAAACATTTCAAACAGTAAATTCTTAATGTTAAAATGCAGTATAAATAAAATCTTTTAAGATTCTTTTATGTTCTAAAATGCAAAGCAAGTGACATAAATTTAAAGCTCAAGCCATGATTTTAATCAGTAAAACGTTTTAAACCAAATTACATAATTTACGAAAAACACTAATAAAATTTTTTAACATTTCTATACCCCTATCTTCTTCAGTTAACCACCCAGATATCGCTAAAGTGACATGTAACTGCCTTCCTTCAGTTAGAGTATCAAATGCAAATTCTTCAATATCACCAACACGTTTTTGCATTTTATAACCTGTAAGAAAGAATAAGAGAAAAAACCTTTTAAAGCCATCAACCATTTTTTAATATTTTAAAAACTGATTTTGCTTTACTGCTCATTAATCTTTTATCTATCCTGTGTTTATTTTAAAATGATCTTATTGATTATTTGAACATATAAACTCAAAATAGATAAAGTCCCTTCCAAGATTTTCTTGCATAAATAAATCCTTAGTAGTGAAATTAGTGCTGCATTTAGTTTGAGCACAAAAATATTTTATTAAAGCCCATTCCAAGTATTCTTTTTCTACCTTTTTTTCAGGTTTACAACCATATTTTTGAACAAAAGAAATTTTCTGAAGTTCTGCTTTTATTTTTCAATTGTTTTTAAATCATAGAGAAACTAAATTGAACTTTTAGCAAATGTCAACATTCTTCAATCAAATTTCAAATAATCACAAAATTTTGATTTTTTTTCATCTACAGAAAAAAAAAATCTTCAGCATTTTCTCATTATTAAAGATATCTAATGAAAAAAGAAGTGTCACACTAGAAATGAAGAGCAAATCAGATATATGAATCATAAACATTTCTGGAACAGACAGACACATGAGCAAAAGTATACTATCTTCAATGATTTCTGAACACCTTCTGTTAGTCATTGCAATGACCATGCACACATATTAGATCCTTAACTCAACTGGTTGTGTTATTTATGGCATGGACTTAACATTCTTACTCTTCATTGCCACATGCAGTAGTATACTGTATACATTTTAGTATACTGCATATATACATTGCTACATGCAGTAGTGCATATCTACATACAGTTTTTGAATGATTTGAACTAAATGTAAGTTTTAAAACTTTTTAAAGAGGATTGAAATATTATAGAACAGCTTTTATACAGGCAGCTTATTTTCACATATTGTTTTTAGTTTTTTTCAAATCTAGTTAGTGTTTTTCTCCAATAAGTTATTTTTAAATACTATTTAACTCACTCTAAAGGTAATAGATGGCACACTTCATTAAATCAAACATTTATTATTCAATCAGGCACCAGTATATCAGTACGTATACATCTTCTCAGATTAACAATCATACATACCAGTTAAACCAGCACCTGCAACTCCAAACAGGGAACCAATGACTGCAATTCCTGCAGCAGAACCTAATGCTGCAGCACCTGCTCCACCTATGATTGCTCCAGCACCAGCAGCCATAAATGGAGCAGCTAATCCACCAGTCAAACCTGTATAAATTAGTAAATAGAGATTGGATATTGGTGAATAAAAGAAACTATGAAAAGATGATAATTACTTGCATGAGAAAAAAATAAACAGTTATATTATTTAAGATAACAAAATTTAAAATTATATATGATCAGCACATATATATTTTAAATGAACATGGACAATAATTTAACAAAAAATTACGTTTCTAATAATATTAATAATACATTAGATATTGTTGTCATTCCCTGGGAAGGATAGCTACGAAGTCTTTTTCTTTTTATACCGCCAGATGGCGTTCTTTTTAAATTTGTATGTGTTTGTTTGCTTTTTGTTAATAAACTTTTACTTTCTGTCTGAATCTCGATCCACGGACTACAGATATAATATTAATAATAGTTATACAGAAAAACTCATTGAAAAGTTTTATAAATGTTTTATCAGTCATAGGTTGAATTCTTTTTATACAAGTTATCATAAAAATGGCATTTTCAAATAAATAAATAAACAAACAAAAATATTAAGTTACAATTTTTAATTTTTTTTTAAAAAAAAAGTAACTTTTAAAATCAGTGTTAAAGGATATTTTGTGTAATAGAGTTATTTAGAATAAAAGAGCTCTTTACATTTTCCTTAATTACATACAATATATATTTGATTTAGTTTAAGTTTAGAATTAATGAAGATCTGGAAATATTTCTCTACTTAGGGATATGGTTTAGGGTTTGTGAAATTGTGACAAAAGACATAGAGGGGATAACAAGAAGAGTGGCAATCTATGCTTTAATTTAAAATCAGTATATTAGTACAATAAATTCTTTTATATTGTTTGCAATGATTTTTTTCATCAAAATACATACATTTAATCGTTATTATTTTTATGATCTCCAATGGCAATGTTAACGTAGTTAAAATTTAAAAATAAAATTTCCAATATTAGCTTTAGCATACATTTTGTTTCTAAACTGCTAACATATGTTCATATATTATAGTATAACATGTGACAAAAGGGTTAGTAATAAGCAGTTTGTTAACAAGTTTTTTATAAAAATATTCTTCAAAGCAAAGGGATCAGAGTTTGTGATAGCTTTTTATCATCATTTAGATATAACAATTCCTCATACTTATTCCTTTTGTTATTTAACATAGCTAAAATGTTAAACTGATTCCTTTTTTTTACAAATATTTAGCTTTTCATAGGAATTTAAAGAAACAAAGAAATTTCAAATCCTCACAAATGTTCAAGCAAACTTTTTAAAATTTTTTGTCTTTCATCTCATATTTTGTGCTGCAAAAACTTTGATCAGAATAAGGTAATTAAACTTTGAATTATCTAATTCTTCATTAATCATATATTAAGTTCATGGATCAATAGAAATATTGAAATTGGCAAAGTTTTTGAATTAGATATTGTAATCAGTGAAATTCAATGGCATATTTTTTTGAATTTTTTATTAAGGCTCAGTAGCAAAGAACACTGATATTACAAAGGCTTAAGTAATGAACATAAAACAATATATTTAGACAATATTGGAATATTTTGCCACTTTTTTAAGGAGAGAGCTTATGTTCAACAATAAGCTATCTTTCATGACTCATTAAGTAAGCAATACTTTAAAAAACTATATTACTTATAAAATCAAGAATCTAACTTTGTATTAATGATTCAGCTAATTAAGGAAACTATTCAAGTAGTATTTAATTCTAAATTCTATTTATAAATGAATGCTCACCCAAAACTGCTCCTCCTCCTATAGTAGCCATTCCTACTAACAAATAACGTTTTATCTTTTTATTGCGCTGTCGCTTTGCATTTGCTTTCTTTTCATCCCTAAAATTTACACTCAGTTAGAAAGAGAAATTAAACATATGTAAAAATAAAAGATGATTCTTTCATTCTTGTTACATAATACCAATACAAAATGATTATCTTTAAAAAGAATTATTTCTTAAGTAAAACAATAATAATTATTATGTATAACATCTAAGTCACAAGATTATTCCATAAAGTTGCTGTTATACATAATGACCACATAATTAGTGGCCACACAAACACTTCACTATATATTATAAATGTATTTATTTTAATTAGGATAGAAAAGTAAATTATAAGAACTAGCACAAAAATAAAATTATTCATAAATATATCAGCATAAACATAAGAAATATAATAAGCTTCATGAATCTATTTTGCTTAATTAAAGGCATATGTACTTATTATAATTAGGATAGAAAAGTAAATTATAAGAACCAGCACAAAAATGAAATTATTCACAAATATCAGCATAAACATAAGAAGTATAACAAGCTTCCTAAATTAAATCTATTTTGTTAATTATAGGCATATACATCAAAAATACTGATGATTATTATGGAGGACAAGCATATTTTTCTCATATCTTCTACTACATTTAAATAATACAAAGTGATGGCAAATTAAAAGTCATATCAACAATGTTATTTAAGGAATTTGCTTACTCAGACATTTCTTGCACTTCACGAGAAAGCATATCAACAACAGATTCTTCATAAATTTCAACTAAAGGCAAAGCAACACGTAACAACCAAGCAACATGAAGAATCAACACACGCATACGGGCATCATATATCCCTAAAATTATAATAATTACGTTTAAAAAAAAATGGAATACACAATTCTATTTTAATTATTAAAAGACAATTAAAAATGAACAGAATTTAAATATAAAAAAAATTCTTCTAGAGGTTTTTAAAGTGAATTTTATTAAAATATGCAGAGCTGGCAACTTGGAAGTTCTTGCTCTCCACATTATTTAAAGTAGTAGTTAAATAAATATAATACAAACAAAGGTTCTTAAGATTTTTACTGTCACTTAAGAACAATACTGCTTGCTTTTCTGAGATTTTATGTATATCTTTCAATTATTTGTAGATTGCGGTGGTCAAAATCCTCTTAAATCAAATGTTAAAAACAGAAATTCTGCTACTACTTAAATATTTGGAAATAATCTCCAGCTAAGAGCTGGAGAAGTTGGCAAGCCTGAACATGGAAAATAAATAAATGCTTCAAATCACAGCTTAATTAGGCTTCAAGTTTTCTTTGCAGTCTCTAAAGGCTCTGTTTTGAACTTTAATATTAAATGCATGTTTTATAAACCCTTTCAAATCATTTTTGAAACAATCTCAAAGGGCTTTAATTGTTCAGAATATCGCTATTTTTTCGCACATTGTTTTTTATTCCCAATGATTTTTTAACCTTTTCTTCTTTTTTGACAATTTTCCATTCTTTCCAATTCAGCTTGGCTTCCATACTATTGCACATAGGTACTATATTATCTTTGCATTGCAGACACTGATTCTAAATGCATTTAGCAGAGTTCTTGTCAGATGCCATATAAATACAAAAATTTAATGGACTTTCATCAGTTACAAGTTGTAGTTGTTTCACCTTTTTATACTTACAATTCTATGTTTTCTACAAAGACATCACATTGTTTTATTATGATCAACATCAGATTGTTTTATTACCCAAAATGGTCTGTGTCTAGAAAAAAGTCAGTAAGAAACTTTGGCATAGATAGACTCTTGAAGAAATTTCTTGTAATGGAATTTCATACGTGCATTTGAGAAGCGTTTTTGTTTTTTTAATTTTTGCTCGTTATGGTTTCCTTCCTGAAATATTACGGCTCATATCTTTATGAAGAAAAATTGTTCGAATTATATAATATGCTATATAATATATGCTTATAAATCTTTTTCTTTTTTTTAATCTTTGCAACTACTAATTTTTTCCTATGTTTTAGACCTATAGTCTTACTTGTCATTGCCTGAAAACAATAATACTTCATTAACTTTTCAGAAAAAAGCATCGAACTAAAGTTTCTTGAGTCACTTTTCATTGATTTTTTGTAACTTTGTTTCAGATAATGATAAAGTATTGTGCAACAAAGAATTTGAGCATTACATTTATGTCTGTTTCCCTTCCATAAGTTTCATGTAGAATTATTTTCATCTTAGATTTTGGTTGTTCATCAGGAGTTCTTAATATCTTGCCCATATCCTTTCCAACTGCTCCTTCAAAGCATTTTCCACTTCTTTTGATTTTTTCTCTTTAAGCCAATGATTAAGATTTCCGATCTTCTTTTCTAATTTGGTAATTAAACTGACGCATCATGAGCAATTGAGAAGAAGAGTTCTATAAATTGTTGACGATTTTCAGACTATATCTGAAAAACCACATCGCTAACTCTTAAAGTTTAAAATATATTTATATAAGTTTGTTAAAGTATTAAAGGATTGAATATTGAAATAGTCAAGTTAGGAAATTAAAACAAATAATTGTTAAGATAGAAAAAAAGTTAAGTTTAAATTACTAATAAAATTAATGCCTAATACTCGCACTTGAGAGACAACATTTAAGTACATGAGATCTAAGAAAAACAACAAAACTCTGTGTATGTGGCAAGGCAAACCCACAAGAATGCATAAGGACTTGAAAGAAATTAATATTTAAATGAATAGGGTAAGGTTAAAAATTATACGTTAAATTGCGTTAAGTATAGGCCGAATAGTGGTGGTCCAGCATTGTTGAACACCGAATAACCCAATAGGTCCATTGGGTCAAAAATTTAGAAATAAGTTAATAAACAAGAACAATTAATATGAATAATTATTTCAAATTTAATATCACTACCAATCATTTTTTTCTCACTATGTGCATCATAAATTTTGCAGAATCATTGTAAATGAGATTACTTTAAATGATATTTAATGTACTTGGCCATACACTCTGTCTTTATAAATAATTTTTTTAATATACTTTCAAATCAATTTCTTATCTTTAATTTTATGTTGTATAGAATTTAAAGTACTTGACATTTTATATTTTTTTTCTTTGTTTGATCATAATCAATATTTTTATATTTTACATAGATTGCAATTATTTTATGAATGTATTTTTATGATTTATCATTTTATCGCAATTCCTGGTTTTGATATAATTGTATTACTTATAAGCATTTATGTGTGAAATGGACAATTTCGTATGTTATTCCTCATCATTCCATGCTCTGAGGATTTAGAAATGAAGAATCTCCCCCCTTGTGAATAAGTTTTGAACTCCCACTTTCAACTCCTGTTTTTTGGACTCAAAGATGAGTGTTCAAGGACATGGTCCCTTATCTTTTAACTTGAGGATAAGGTCATGGGATGAAGGAGAAAGCGCTACAGGGGGTGTCCATTTGAATTCCCACACAGCATAAAATTCCACTACTTGCTCTGGAGTGCATCAACAAGATTTTATTGCATCTTTGACAGGATGTTGCAAAGATCCTGGTCGATTCCTGTTTCAACACCATGGCAATTTCGTTAATTGGGGAAAACACCTGCAGAAGGGAAACCCTTCCTCACATGTCCATAGTTGAAGGGAGAGTCTTGTGGAGGAAAGGATCGAATGACGAGATAATATTGTGCTTCTGTGGGGCCACCTGCAACCTCAGAGAGTGACCATCAGAACCCTGTTTGTTGCCTTCAATAAAACAGTGTCAAGAAAATCCCCCCACTTCCTCAAAAAAAAAAAAAGGGGAAAGATGTTTCGCTTATCTTCCGTTTCAAGCTGAGACTTTTTTTTGAAAAAATAAGACTTTTCACACAATAAACTTTATGTCTTTAATGTACAATACTTATTATTCTCAACTTGCAATTTAATTAATTGCGATCATTTTTTATCAGTAAATGAGAAGTTTCTTAGATAAGATGTTCTTTATGTATTATTTGTTAAACTTATATTCATGAATATGAGAATAATTTTTAATGTATTTTACTCATTTTAAGCACTGTTTTGTGCCAGCAATTTGAAAGCTACATTGTTAATTAATGAACAATTTTTCTCCAATCCTTTTATCACAATGTCTAATTAATTTTTATTAGAGTGTATGGTTAACATAATTCTGTTTAGTGTATTTTTTGGTTCACATATTTTATGATCAATGAATTCAATGTATTATCATCTCAAACATAGTGCGTTCTAAACGACGTTTCCAATCAAAATTTCATAATTATGTTGATATTACTAATTGACAAATTGTTTATTTATTGCAAAATGCAATCAATTTTACTTTTGATTCCAATTTAATGTTATTATTCCTTTTATGTCATATTAATTGACATTTATTAGTAATTGTATTTAAATTTTTTTTTGTTTTATTTGGCTTTATTCGTTTTTTCTTCCTCGCTTTAGTTGCGTCACAATATGTTTGAGATCCATGTATTAAAAATTTTTTTAAACTTTTACTGATGTTTCCAATTTGTTGCCCTTAACAATATTTGCTCACCATATAATCTTTTGTTAATAGTGCTGATTTAAATTGTTTATTTTTTATGTTTATACGAACTATTACTGCTGTTTCTGTGTTTTTCTTTCCAGTGTTCCTGAAAGAGTTATGTGAACATATGAGATTTTCCACCTGTAACAATTGTTCTTAGCTATGTACAGAAATTCATAACTGTGTACAGAAATGGGTGACTCCTTTTCCAATTTTATATCTTTTTCTACTTCTACCATTAAATGCTAAGTTTTGAATTTTATTTTATGGTATCTATTTTAATTTTAAACCAGTTTACTTAAATTTTTTTTGTTTTTGGTTACTTGATTTTCAAGCATTTTTTTGTCGTCAAACTTTTCGAATTATTTTAGTATCGAGGAAAATTCTTATATTTTGATTTTTTATTTAATATTTGTTTGAAATTAAAATTTTCTTACGACTTCGAAAATTTTATAAAAATTTCCGGTCTGTCCAGGTATTGTCATATTTACACTTAATGTAATGTGACAATTTAATTTCGAATTTTATCTAAGCCTTTAATTTTTCTTTAAACGCTATTTCTTTTTTTTCAATTTAGCAATCTTTTAACTTTCTTGTTGACCTTTCTCATGGTCATTGCGGTCATCGCACTTCCTGTGGGGAAAGTCAACCAACCCCTCTATTCACGCCTTTCTTTTTCTTCCTTTAATTTTAGGGGGGCTAACAAACCAATCTTTTTCCTTTAAATTTCAAACTTTCCGCCTCTTTTAATTTAATTGGCCGTAATTTTCTGGTCCTATACCAGTTAAGGAATTTTTAAGTCACTTTAAAAACATTTTTTTTTTCTCGAGCCCTCGGGCAGGTTACCCTTTTTAAATTCTCCGCGATGCGGACTTCGGTCCGTATCGAGGGATTTTTTTTACATTTTTTCTTAACCTTTATTTTAAACTAAATCCATAGCTGTAATTAATTTCTGTAAAATTTGAAATCAAAATTTTATACCTTTAATTTTCTTTAACATTAAAAGCCCTCTCAAATTTAAGTTTTCTTCTCATATTTATTTTAACGGTTAAATTACTCGCTCTTTTATATTTAACTTTTTGCATGACGCCTTTGGATTCATTAAATTCTCTTGTCACCCATTTCCTTTTAAAAGATATATTTTTTTTGTGCCACAAAATGTGTTGCAATCATATTGTTTGTTTGTTACGAAATAATCAAAATAAGTAGTTTTACAAAAATAAATGTTTAGTTGAACAGAAAGTTGTGTGTGATTGTTTTTTTAGCTTTACCTTTATAGCTATTATTTATCACCTTTTTTCCTTTTGTATGTGGTGAGTACCTTTTTTTATTGTTATGGGCATGCATAAATGTGAATTTATTAGTTTTTCTTATTGGAAACATCAGCTTACTGTTTGAATCATATATATTGTTTGGATATAGCATGACTTTATCGTATTTATCATTAATCTTTAATTTACTTAGTTTTCACCCTTATTCTAAATTTGGTGATACCAATTTATCCAATTTGTTAAAACCTCACACTTTGTGACCCTTTGAACCTATTGGGTTATTGTTATCCCACATCAGCATTGTACTACCACTTTCCTTAACGATCACATCCCCCTTAATTTTATAATTACCCTGTTATATATTTCGGCCTTAATTTTATTTATCATGACTATATCCAGAGATACATCCAATTATGCAACCCATCCATTTCAATAACAATACATAAATAACTTTATTTTATTCGCACCATTCCAAAAATAATTTTAATTTAACTCTTACACTAACAGCATTTCATTTAAAGATACCTTCTTTGAATGAAACTGTCCATGAATAAGCTTTCATTTAATAAAAAATAAACTAATAATTAACAGATAAAAATCAAAGCAATAAATAAAATATACTTCTGCATTAGGGAATTAAATTTAATTCTGCATTAACAAATTTCTATGTCAAAACAAGTCTGAGATGATGTTTTTAAATACATTACTAAGTAAATAAATTTACAAAAATAAATTAATGACATAAAAGTCATAATGGTAAATCCAAATAAGGTATATAAACACATAGCTTTTGTATTCACTTACCACTAATCAAAGCTGATGTAAGCATTAAAAAAGAGAAACATCAGACAATAAGATATAGTTTTAAGTGTAAAAATTACATATCATTAATTAAAGTGAAAAAATACAGGAAACTTATGATTAGCATTATCTCTAACATAAAAAAAATTTCTTATTTACTGCCGTCTTTGATCTACACATTATCTTAACAAAGATTAAATTTAAAAATATGTTCACATTTAATTCTTATTAGTATAATAATAAGGAGTTTCGTCAAGGCAAATCAGATACGGCCTTAATTTAAGTTAATCATAATGTAATCCCAAATTTTATCTAGCAAAGTATCAGACAACAAACCATTCTCTCAAAACCATAAAAAATATTAAACTAACTTTTTTAAATTAAAAAAAAAAGCTTTTTTGAAATTATAAAAATTTAATAATTAGAAATTAATAAATACTAATTATTAGAAAACTATAACAACTAAGCCATATAACATTGCAAAGATATTTTAAACAGAATTTGTCCCATATAAAGACATAACCTATTTCACAAATATATAAAATCTAAAAAAAATATTTTTAATGACATAAACAGAAAGCAATATATTTATAAAAATTTCAATACTATTGCACTGAAATACTTGTATTTATTGCTAACTTTAGAAATAAACCTATTCTTTGTAGATAAATATACATTTATTAAGCTAGTAAAATACATCATGGGGACAATGGCCACAAAAACAAACAAGAAGTTAAAGATTTATGAATCTTGAAGGAGATTTAGATTACTCTCTTGGTTTATACCACTAAAAAATTTAAATAGCAATTAAATATTTAAAAACAAATTTAAATACCCAAAAATTTAAGTAGGAAAATTTTTTATTTTCATTATTTCCCGCTAAAAGTAATTAAAATTTGTCATAAATTCATATAAATAAGCTAAATTTAAAATTTTACGAGAGGTCGTGCTTTAAGATTCTTACTCAAATTATTGTTTCCAAACTATCCAAATCTATACAATCGTTAAGTTTTTTATTCTCCTTCCATAGAATATAAATATAATTTCTTCTAATTAAATTTTTTAAAAAGGTAAAATATAACCAAGTTTACAAAGTATTGTCATGAATTTTTACACAAGAATTATTCTCAAATATCTAAACAAATATTCTCAAATATCTAAATAGGAACAATTTAAAATTCTGAAAGGAAATTATTCATTTTCGATAGTTTATAAAAGTGTTAATGTGTTCAATCAAATAAACTCACCTTCTTCAACAGCAAATAAGATTAAATCTTCAATAATTCTTAAGCAATTGCCATTCAGTTTAGGCTCTTTTTTTAATACATTTAGCAATGGCTCAATGTCTCCTCCTTCTCCAGTAAGAAAAGCATACAAAGATGATTCTACCTTTTAAATAAGAGAGACGTTTTAAGATTAATGATAAAAAATGGAAAGTTCATTGCATAATGAGAAAATACAAAATACATCTTGAATAAAAAATATTTGAAAACTATGCTAAAGATAAAAACACAATTATGCAATTGATTATGTTTTAATAGTTTTTATAATTAAAAGGCAATGATGCTCTATTATTATAAAATACTCTGAAGACTATGCAAGATAAAGCATACAAAACAAAAGTCAATACAAATTGGTTTGTTAAATTAACTTCATAGTTATAAAATAAAACCAAAAATCAATATGAATGATGACATATGTTGATAGCATTGACATATATTTACTGTAATTTCTTTATGAAATCAATATGATCATTACAATGACCGAAAAATATTTTAAAGCTGTTTTTCAAAGGCTCTGTCATTGCATGAAATTATGCTTTTTTCACGAATAATAAGCTATTTTGAAAACTGCTGTGAGTTTGCAACAGTTACTATGACTATAAAAGGGTGCGTAGCCAAATTATTCAACAAAAATAAGCACTTTTCAAGCACTCAGAAATATTTTTAAGCACTTTAACAAAATATCATAATTAGGCAGGGTTGGAAAGTTTTTGATAATTGACGATTTTATTTTGTTTTAATTGTCATGAGAAAAAAGAAAAAAAACCTTGTGGCATTGTTTTTGACAATTGTCAAAAATCATGAAAATTTAAATCATGTAAAACGAATGGTGCTTTCATACACTACGAACTGACAATACGCTGAAATAGATTGTAAAAACGTTGAATAGAACTATGTGAACTGTGTCTTTTTGCATAATTTGTAGCGAAAATCAACATGGTAAAGGAAAAAATCTAATTTTGAAAAAGGGAAAATGAAGCACTTTTTAAAAACACCCAAAGAAAAGAGCACCTTTAGGTTTTTAAAAAACTAAAATCGAAAATAGGCACCTTTAAGCACATTTTAAAAACACAATGCATCCTGTGATAGGTCAAATATAAACTATTTTTAGTGAACACCTTATTCTCATTCTGAAAATGGTGCAAAACGTCAATATGGGTAAAAGCCACAGTTTTGTGAAAAAGAAAATTGTTTGTGGTCTGATTTCATAATATTTAAAAATTTACTACAATGCTGCATTATTTGGGGTTTATAAAAATGCGCAAAAAATGAGGATAAGACATTGATTTTGATTATTTTAATCGAAATGGAAAAATGTTTAATAGCTTTTAAAATATTCAAGTTATTTGTCTATTTTAAAACCCAGCATTTTAAACTTCACAGCAAAATTTTAAAGTTATAGTTTTGCTTCAAGGGTTAGTTGTTGAATTGCAGCTTTTTTATTTTCTTCCGCAAAACAGCTTTGAAAAACTCTCTTCACTTAATGAAAATACATAGATTAGTAACTTTAGCAGATATTGTTAAATAAAATCTACTAAGAAGAATGGCAGAGTTCATTAATTAAAGTTAAAATAAAAAAAAGAACATTTTGAAGAATTTCCTGCTAAAGTAGAATTTTTTTATTCAAGACACAAAATGTAATTTTTGATAGAAAATATATCATTACCCACTCAGGAACGACTGCTCGACCTTACCCCTTACTAACTACATCATAGAGTGTGATAAATGTGTGCTGGTAAAAAAAAAATAACTTCATTGAAATATATATATTTAAATATGATGATTTAAGATTATCTTTTTAAATATGATGATAGAGTGTGATATTTTTGAAATATCTGAAATATTTCTTTAAATATGATTTTTTAGACATATCAAAGAAACATTACCACCAAAACGATAGAGAAAAATGATAAAATCTAACTGTCTAAACTAAAAGATAAAATGATGAAATCTAACTGTTGGCATCTAAACAAAATAAAAATGAAAAAACTTGTTCGATATTTTACCTGTTTTGGAAGACCAACATGCGTGATATGTTTTGTCATACACTGTTCTCTGAAATTCCTGTCAAATTAAAGAAAAAAAATATTAATTAAAAAAATATTAATTAAAAAGAATAGTTTCTACTTTAAATGCAATTTTGTAAAGCTGTGGAAAATTCTATTTTTAAAGCTAATAATATTGAAATGAAAATTTTTAATAAAAATGACACTCACTAATCTATTAAAAGGGAAAAAGATTAGCAAAGTTTGTAAATTTTGTTAAAAAAAATTAAATTACAAATCTTATAAATTTCCTAAAATCTATCACATAACAATATATTTAAAATATGTTTTAAATTTTTCGGACAAAATCGTTCTAAGACAGTTATTAACCTTTCGAAAAACAGTCATGTGTACTGTCCTGGTTCTGCATATGGTCTCTCTACAAATATTTAAATTGCAAACCTCTATAGTCTATACTATACTCAAATCTAGATTTAAGTGTTTATAGAATACATATAAAACAATGTGGTCATTTGTCTCATCTCCCACAATGGTTTGAAACATAGAAAAAAGCCTACTTAAAAAAAAAAATTTTATCATAAAATAAATTTATCATGCTATGTAGAAATCTTTTTCCCCACCAAATTTGAGAAAGTATTATGATGATTATTTATAATAAAATTGCTCCTTACATGGAAAAATTAAGATATCAATTAAATTATATTGTGTCTTTTTAATTAAACTCTATGTTTCACCTTTTTTTTTGTTGACCTTGAACTGAGTTCATCATTTAGGCTTCCCTTCACAGGAAACCAGTTTTTGTCAATGAAATTCTTATATTTGCAGATTATTACATCTTTTAAACACAAATCATTAAAGTCTGAAGTATTCTCTATGAGAGGTTATTCATATCATACATTCGTAAATAGGATTTTAAAAAATAATTAACCTTTAAAGTGGCTAGATTAAACAAATGTGCTCTCCAAAAACAAAATAAAATTTATTATTAGGTTTACTTCCTTAAAATAGAACTCCATAAATCTATGAGAATTAGATAGATAAAATAAATATTAAGATTTAATATTTCCACTTGATTTTTATACCTATTCCACTCTTCTTTGAAAAGATTGTACAAGGACATGGCACATGTTGCACAGTAAGCATACATTCCAGCATCGCTAATGATGGAATGTAAAGGTTTAAATATTCCATGATGTCTATTGTCTGAAATGAGAGTAAAGATAGTTTAACCTCATGCTGCTACAAATTAGAGGAATGAAGTTATTTAAATAATTTATTTAAACATCTTAATTAATAGCAAAAAAATATGTATAAAGAGACAACTAATTTCATATTAGAAAAGCTTTAAAAAGGAAGAACATATCAACATGGCATAGAGTGAGGGGGAGCACACTTTTTGTTTTTAAGAAACTGTTTATTTATTTTGAATTTTACATATACAATAAATGAATGCTCATTTATACATTAAATAAACGAAGTTTTCTAAAAATAAAAAGTGTGCCCCCCCCCCATCACGCTTCACCTATGGGTTACAAAGGACAAAAGCACATAAAAACATATTATGTTCAGCTGTATTTATACATTCTTTAGACAGGTGAATGATTAAATTTGTTTTAATTGTAAATGCGTTTCACAGAGCTTTTTGTTGTTGGAACATTTTCTAAAGCTGTAATGCAGGTAAATTTCACTTAAAACCTTCTTTTGTGAAGCTTTTTGATTGTTTCAGTAATACTTAATTACTTGTTGGAAACGTTATATATATGTATAAAAAATCTATTATTAATTTGAAAATAACTACATATTAGTTCTGTAGCTATCTCGTATCATAAATTATTAAAGTAAACATTATTTATTACAGTTTATAAGCAAATCGTAGTACTAAATAACACAATTTTATATTTACAGTCAACATTTTTAATTTTTCCAAGATCTTTTAAAATAATTTTTCTCGTTTTTATGACATTTAAAAAATATTTTTAAATCTAAATTAAATGCGCGAAATTACAAATAGCCACACATATTTACAAAATAATTTTTAGTCTATAAAATATGTCACACAGCTTAAAATACAAAATACGCATATTCAAACAGGTTTATAAATTATGATTAAAGAAATAATGCAGTTTTTTTTTGCATTAGATGATGAAAAAAACATTATAAATACTTTTTTTTATCATATTTAAGAGGCATTTCAAATATCATATAATTGTGTATACAGATTTTTATTTACATATCAGGAAATGTAAATAAACCTTAGATTCTGTTAATGCAATCTATTTTCGTTAACCTACCCATAATTATTTAATTCAAAAGCAATATTAGACCACAACTTCTTAAAGAATGAATGCATTTAAATTTATTAAATTCTCAAATTTAATAAAAATCAAATTTAATTTAACCTGAATCCCATGATATCTCGTCTGCTAGCAGTGCCGTGGCCATGGTGACGGCCTGATTGCCACTTTCAAAAAGGCACTGAATTTTTTATTACTTATAAATAATAATGATGGCTTAGAACTCAGTAAAAATGAAATTGGCATTTTATATTTCAATTAAAATTTAACAAGAAAAATAATAAATCGAAATTACATTTGATTATATCTTTTGTTTTTCGCTGCGTGATTTAATATTAAACAGAGTTTGAAATTTGGCAACAAAATCAAAATGTTTGTTTATTTTCATTTTTTCCGCTCTTTTCCGTTTCGTAACATAGTTCGCAATTATTCACTCTTCACTGTGAACATCTGGTTTGTCAAGTTATAAATTTCGCAATTAATTTATAATTAAGAAAATAATACGGAGGTTAAAAATAAATGAGGTTGCTTGTCATTTATAATACAAGCGTATTTTTTTTCGTCTTACATTTCCAGCTGACATTAAATCGGTAATATGAAACGGATGGGCGTGGAAATTATTGGCATGTTTAATCGTTTGCAGTAATAAACTCTTTTGATCGACCTTTTTCAGTGTAAGTGTAGTTTTTTAATCTGTTAATTTATTATTTTGTTATAAATTATTTAGATGTTATACTTTTCTTGCAGTTCAATCGTTAATTTAATAAGCAAGATGTGTTCGGTACCATGTGGCCGTGTTGGTTATTGGCTTAGTGAAAAGAAGGGAAAGAAATTTAATTTGGTAGAAATGGCAGATGTATTTAGGTAAGATTTTAATTAAACAAGGGGTACATTATGCTACTTTGTATTAATATTTTAGTGCTTTTTTTTAGTGCAGTTATATTTTGTCCAGGACAAATGTTTGAATAATAATGATAAAAGCGTAACAGAAATTTCTGTCAGCATTTTATTGTGGATTATTTTTCCATCACTGTTTGCTGACCACTATCAAAACTTAATTTCCTTTTTTATGTTATAGGCGGGGCACAATAATCAAATTGCTAGGCTAGATTGTGATACAAATAAACTGTCATTTGATTTTTTACGTGGTTAAATAATCAGCTGACTTAAATCTTGCTTAGTTTTAACCATTAGTTACTGTAATGCATGAGCAGTTTAAGCTATCACTAGATTTAAATATTGATTATTTACTGACATGATTGATTGATCATAATCATTGATTTTATTATGATTTAAAGCAAGTAATATTTTTTAAAAATAATGTTTTTGATTAATAAAAAAATATTGATTATTATTATAATTTATCAAAAACAGTGTATACAAATTTAGCAATTTAAATATATATATATATATTTTTTAATGAAAATTTTTATGTCATAGAAAATTCCATACAGATATATGCATTTCATTTAAGTTATTTTGCTATTAACTATTTTTGAAAATACATTGGAATAATTTTATAGAGTAATTTCTTAGAAGCAGCAGAGAATACTAGAATGTATTTGAAAAAAAAATGGAGAATATTCAGAAAAAAATTATTTTATTATCAGAGTGGTTTAAAAAATTATTTTGAAATTAACTTGACAAAACAGATAATATCTTTGGTTTATGCATTTTTTTTCCTTCTTTTTTTTTAACTTTCGTTCTTTTTCTTTTTTTAAATATTATAAATATATTCCGTAATATAATATTTTAATAGAAAAACTAAATTTGTTTTAAAAACATAAGGTAGCAAACTTAGTTTATGAATTAAATATAATTACTGATAAACTTAATGGTAGGTTAACTATCAAAATTTATATTTGAATAAGAGTGATCAATTATTAAAAATGTAATTATACCACAAAAAATGTTAGATAAAAAAAAAACTTTTTTTATTACTATTATTACTAAGTGATGTGTATTTATATGGTTCTTTATTTTTTATTTGTAAGCATATATAACTTTTAAATTATTGGGTTTAGTGTGTTAAATAATTTTTCTTTAATTTCTTATTTCTTAAAACCAACAAAATTAGCATGCTATTATTTATGTGTATTAATTTTATATATTTTTGATAAAATAATTGAAAAAGAAAAATGATTTTAATCAACTAATTATTTAAAAAAAAAAAATTTTAATCAATAACCATACTGTTAAAGCTTAAATTTTTTGTTGTAAAAAAGAATGACAGAAGCTGCAGGTAGCATTTATACCAAATGAAAAGATGCAATTATAATAAAAGCTAGAATATTTAGTACAATTTATTTCCATTCAAAACTATTACAAATAACCCATATATAGTCCATGTTCTTTAACTACAACATACCATTACAGCTACCGTTCTATTTTAAAGACTTATATATATTATTTAAACCATTATTTTCTTCATTTTTATGTAATTTCATTTTTATTTATGTTACTATATAAATATAAAACTAAAACATCTTGAATCCTCATTGAATGATGGAGGAATGACATGAATTTTGTTCCTAAGTGGTCGTAATTTACATTCATTTGTAATCTGTGTAACTTTCTTTTCAAAAGTTACAATGACTTTATAAATCAATCAATTGCTCTTGTTTGAAAATTTTATTTATTTATTTTCCCCCCTGAGATGTCAGTAACTAGTTTATTTTTTAAATAAAGTATGGTCTTCATGATTATTTTGATGTATGTTATTTTAGAAAAGCAGCACATTTTTTTAATGTATTTTTCAGCTATAAAATTGTGTTTTAAAGGGTATTTTTATGTTTCCATCAATATAGAAAATAAATTGGATTATTTCCAATTTTTCTGTTAGTTACCAAATTTTTATTAAAATGAAGAATAGCTTTATTAAAATTAGTGAAGTATATTTTTTAAGCACTCTGAGTTATGTTTATGGCATTTTTTTTGCACTTGTGATTACATTCCCACTTTAAAATGTTCATTTTTGTCCATCTCAGGCTTGTTATAGCAAGCATCAACTGTATTTTGATTTTGTCTGTAAATTATATTAAGTTAAAAGATGGAGAAAAAATTCTTACTTCAAAGGTTTTAATTTTAAACTTTTATTGTTTTGTCTGCATGAAAAAATGAAAAGAGTCTCATAGTTAATATAACTCTTTGTCTGCAATTTATATGTAATCAATTGTCTAATTTAAATATATATGTCAAAATCAATTATTTTTTTCCCCCTTTCAATATCTTAGTGATATTCTTGGCACAGTAGCATAGAGTTTTGATATTATACCGCGAGTACTTATTTGAGAAAGATCTTCATATTTCCATGTATTGTCCTTATCAAATTTTTCTAAAATCAGTTTTTATTAGAAAATGTTATCTACTTTTTCATGTGTTGCTTTTAACTTAAACATTCCATTTTTGATAGTTTAATTATAATTCTAGTATTCAATGATTTAATTTCTTAAATAATTATGTATTATTATTTTTTAGGGCAGCTGGTTTTGAATTAATCAAGGTATGTAGGTATTATTTTTGAGTTTGTTTATTTTATTTGATGAATATGATCTGTTAATTGTAATGTGAAGGTGCAAACTTCGTTGCTAGAAAATTAAGCTTTTATATGGTCAAAAGGTTTTGTTCTCAATTTTGCAGTATTTTTCTTAATCAGGGGTCTGTCCAGGCCGAATTTACTACCGTTTAGCGGTACCTTCACAAATTCAACTTTAGGAAAAACGGTAGTTTCACAAATTCAATTTAAGGAAATTTCACAAAATACTTTTTCTTAAAATTTTATTTTTGTATCCCTTAAGAAACAATAAATCCCTATTTTTGGTTTGATTTTTTAATATAATTTTTAATCTTTCACAAATTATGTCTAAATTTTCACAAAATAGGTACCTCTCAGAAAAACCTAGACAGACCCCTGTTAATGATAAATCATTTAACACGAGAATGAGTACCGGAAACTATACTACAGAAGAAATTAGTTATGTTACATGCATTGCATTAACTGCTATGTGTTTCATCTTTGGATTAGATATTCTTAAAATAAAATATTTTTAAATAAATACAAAAAATTTTTTATTAAGTGTAATTAAATTTATAATTTTGAAAATTAATTTAAACTGTATATAAGGGTATTTTAGTATATTGCTGTATTGAAAGTTTTATTAAAATTAGGATTATTAATGTTACTCTCATATTTTATAAATATATTTTTAGTTAGCAGCAGTATAATTTATTTGAAATTGTTTAAATTTTGTTCTGTTTCGTAATGATTTTTTTTCTTGGTATCACGATTTAATTGCATACAAACTTCTATTACCCCGAGTACAGGGGTGCAGTATATGCCCAATCATGCATGCAAGGTTCGGGGGAGATTCAGGAAGTGCCTGGAAAAATTTTTACTCTAATTAAATTTTTAAAAAAGATAGCTTCGGAATTTTTTATTGTAAAAAAAATGTGTCTGTTTACAAATTATAATTATGTTATTTTTAATATGTGCTAGTTAATTCAAGAATTGAGCAGTGTTTTCATCATAGAAAAAAAATGGGTGAGAATTTCTCACCCTTTCTCAAAAACAGGGTGAGATTTCAGAAAGTTAAGTGAGATTTCTAAAAACTGAAAAAATACAAATAGACTTGAAAAAAAAATTTCTTTTATTATAATACATTTTTAACGCCTTCTATTTTTTAAAGCATTGAATATTTTTGCTGCATCATCATAGAAAATTTTGCCTTTACTAGGTATTTGTCCATCTTACATTAGTGCATAAAAAAATTTGAACGTCTTACATGAAAAAACCATACCTACAGTAAACACGTGATTGCAGAAAAATGTGTTCTGAAAGTGGTTCCGTGGTTCGGAGGGGTTGTGCTCTGTTGTTCGAAAAGGTTCTGAACAATGCTAGTAAAGAGGGAAGCTAGATAACGGGGCAAGTGTTGAAAATAATGAAGATCCAGGAAGAAATGTGAAACGGATTTTATTCTAAATGACGTAATTCGAAGCTTTTTCCAAAATGCGAGAAATTCGCGAATTTTGAAATTAATTTATAGAATGCGCGAATTTCTCGCGGTAATCATTTTTTAATGCGAGAAAAGAAAAAAATATGCGAGATTCTCGCGTTCTCGCGCTATAGTGAAAACACTGGAATTGAGTAAAGTGAAATGAAATATTTTTTTATGCTTGAAAGATATTTTTTGTAGCAAAAATCAAAATACAAACATTAATTTCTAAAACTATTTTGAAAAAGCTATTTTTATTATAAAAAAACACTATGATTTTGAGGGAAATTTCAAACCAATAAAACTTTATTCTAGGGAAATATTAGGCTCTGAGAATTTACTGCACTCCTGAATTTTTTTTTCTATGCATAAATTGCAATGACCTGTAAATTTTATTTATGAAAAGACTTATGATTAAATGGTATGATAAATTTGTCATTTCAATTTCAGATTGATTTAAGGAAACCTTTGGAAGAGCAAGGACCTTTTGATGCAATTGTACACAAAATATCTGACATAGTTGTGAAGGCTGATGCTGGAGATGAGGAATCAAAACAGATTTGCAAAGCATTTCAGGTAAGTTTATGACCCAAAACGTTTCACAATTATATCTCAAAAGAAAAAGAAATAACGAGCAACAATACTCTGAATATATATATAATATTCCTCTCTGATTATGTTACTGCCTAAAGTCATAGATTAAGAACCTGGAAGTTAGTCCACCAAGTTTAATTGCCTTTTATAACTGAAAGCAAATAAGCAATAAATTTAACAGTTATTAATAAGTATTTTTTATATTTCAAACAGGGTTCCCCTGGGTCAGAGAGAACAGGGAAAACCTAGAATTGTAAGGGAATTTTATTTTGACTCTGAAAAGTAGGGAATAGTTAGGAAAAGTTGCAATTTAAAAAAAAAAAACTGGAAAATTCCTATATCATACCCGGAAAATGATCAGCCTTAGAATTGTCAATAACAGTAATCAGTAATTGCGATTCGATTTAAGTGATTCTAACATATATTACAATTATTTTATAAAATTCCACCTCTTAGTGAAACTTTTCCATGTTTTCCCTTTTCATTCTTATGTTTTTACTCACAAAATCAAATATTTAATACTAAAAATAAATAAAAAATCAAAGTTTTCTCATGAAAAATAGCAAGATTTAGATAAACTATGTCATGAATTTTCATTAAAATTTACCTGTTGTTATACCTGGAAAAGTCATTGAATTTTTTTTCCTGAAATTGAGTGGGAACCCTCTTTAATGTGAAGCACTCTTTTAATTTCCTGTTGTTAATCAAGGACTGTTATTGAGTATAATTTTGAGACCAATAGCATGTTGGTGGCAACATGGTCTATATTGCACACCTGTTGCTTTTATTTTTCATACTAACTGGTTCCCAAAGATTAAGAGCTACGTGGGGTTCTAGCTTCAATCAGGAATAGAATTTTCGTCCTTCATGATGGCAGCTCAGTGGCCTAATCAATGTGCCATCGCAGTTTTTTCATGTATTTTACTTATGCATATATGTTTTCTTGAAAGATATTTAATAACGATGAAAATATGCATAAAATGTTAATTTAAATGCTAAAACTTACATATATCAGGGCTTTATAATATGCATCTATCATTGAATATATTTGACACCACAAACACTTTTTCTTGTTAAATAAAAATCAAACTTATGACATAATACAATATTCAAAGGTTTTTGAAAGATCCAGGCACTTATAAATGTTGCATTGGTTAGAGTGCCAAAATATATGCAAATGTTTTATCAAGAATTGAAAAGTCTCTAACTTTAGAAAATTTTTCTAACCTCGTGATGGATTTCTATGGATAGTCTGCACTAAAGTTAAAATAGAAATGATACATTATAATTTCGTGATATACATTATAATTTCATTTAAAACTGATTATAAAAACCAATTTTGAGGGATAAATTTTGTGAATGACAATTTAATAAAAGAAAATCTAAAATTCAAGACAAGTAACTAATCACTTGGGATCTGACAGACAATAGAAAAAATCAAGGAAATTATGTACTAAAATAGTAAATAGTGGACATTAAAATCAGTTATTACTGTTGTAATTTTACTCTGTCTGTTTTAAATGAGTTAAAAAGAATATTTCTCTTAAAAATTGTCTGAGGAGCCATTTTGTTTCTGATAGTAACTAGTCAATTGTTTACGATTTTTACAATTAAATAAGCCAACAAAGTAAAGAGCACATAAATAGCTTAAAATTATTGTGTTTATAATATATTTTGAATTAAGCAGGGTTCCCACGGGTCAGGGAGAATAAGGAAAGCCTGGAATTTTATTGTCAGGGAATTTTATTTCAACTCCAAAAATCACGGAACGGTCAGGGAAAGTTGCAATTTTTTTACAAGAACCTGAAAATTCCTTCATTATACCTGAAAAAAAAAAACAGTCTTAAAATAGCCAGTAACAGTACTCAGTTGTTGAGATTTGAGTTAAATAATTCTAACATTTATTACAATTGTTTATTGTAAAAGTTGCACATTTTAGTCAAACTGAAATGCTTCCTTCCTCATATAATATTTATTTTACAGTGAAATTCTAATACTTGGTATTACAAATAAAAGAATCAAAATTTTCTGATGAAAAATTTCCTAGCATAGATAAAATATGGTATTGATTTTCATTGAAATTTACCTGATATGCCTGGAAAAGTCAGGAAATTTTTTTCTTTCTGAAATTGAGAGGGAACCCTGATTAAAATTTTTGTTTTGATTAGAATTTAGTACTCTAGCTTTTATATTTGTTTTAGGACTATGTTGATAATCATCCAAATCTAATAGTGATTGATATTTTGGCCAATGTCAGAAAGCTGCTTGATCGTTACAAACAATATAAATTGGTTGCAGAAAGTGAACTTTGCCAGAAAGGTAATTTTTTTCCCCATTATAATTGAGCAAACTAAAATCTCTTGTGATTTTTTTTTTTTTTTTTTGCTTACATTTAACATTGCTAATTTTTCTTCTTGAAAATGTTTAATTGTTAATAAGAATTTCATTCAATAAATGAACTTATTTTATGTTGTGCTTATCAATCTGTTTATTGCAAACTGCACTTTGCAACATCAGATAAATGCAGCCTTAAGTTTTAAATTAAATACATTATATGGACACTTTCACAGTATAAAAGCTGAAACTTTTGTGTAAAAATTTACTGAATTAGCAAGGTACAATCCTGAATAAAGTGTAAAATTGATCTTTAAATTGAAATCTTTTAAAAATTAAAAGTTGGGGGCAAATGCTTCTTTTGTTATTGCTAAAAAATTAATTGGATATCTAGCATAAAATTACCATTAGTAGCTGCTTATCTGTAAAAAATCTATATTATATAAAACGCTAATACGTACGTATGTATGTATCAATAAAACCGATGATATTTCTTTTCTCGCGCTGGCAACAGTTTTCATTTTTAATTGATTGGATTCGGCGCGCAAGAGCACGTAGTGAGCAAAATTAAGGTTTAGAATTGCTTCGGAGAAATTTGAATTGTTAACAATGACTTAAACAAAAAGTTTTATTTTAACTGACAAATACTATATTATAATTTTAACTTTTTCTATGACTATACTCATTTTCTTACTCTTTTCTTTGTTTTTTATACATTTTATATTTTTGTGATAAAATAAAAAACTTATAGTTGTTCTGCTTCTGAACACTGATGAAAACACAAAATGATGGGCTTCATCAATAATCAAAAATATATACATTTATTTTACAAATTCCATATTAGGGTGTCGCCATTCAGAGACTTAAAAATACAAAATTATCTTTAGCGAAGCCGATGCTTTACATCCGGCGTTCAGTGGCAGACTACTATTTCATATTGTTTTACAACACATGGCTTTAGCCCTTTTGTGGGAAAGAATTTAAAACAAAACTTACAACAGTTACTTTTCTCAGCAACTGAAATTTAGAATAGTGTGATTAAGAAAAATATGTGAACTGTTTGCAATTTCAAATTAATATTGAAATGTACAGGTTTAGAATTTTCTACAGTGAAAAGTTTTCGGAACTTCAGTGTTCAAAAAAGTATACAAAAGCTAGACGTTAAGAACGTATCCAATGAGCGAGTAAAGCGAGCATCGGATTGCGAAGCAATCCGAAATGAACTGCGAAAGCAGTTCGGGGGGTTGGCAAGCAGGGGGCGAAGCCTCCTAGTAAGTGAATAAAATGTCAACTATTCTAATGTCATTATAAAAGAGATGTATTTTTCTCTCTTTAGAATTTGTTTTTATTCCACCATTTGTTGAGTTGACTACCAAAAATGTTTCTGTAAATTTGGAGAAAATGAAGGCAGCTGGTGTTGATTTTCCTATAGGTAAGGTATTCTTCTCAAACTTTATTAAATGAAAGAATATTTTATGTTGTTTCTCAATTATTACGCTATTATAATTGTGATGCTATAATATTCATTTTTTTTTGGAACCTCTCATAGTGTTTATTGTTATTATACTCTCGCACAATATGATTAAAAATTCTAATATTGAAGTGTTTTATTTCTGAAATGGAATTTTGTTATTTTTTTATAAATTATGCATTGTGTTCTTAATTTTTTTTTACATTCTTTTAGGAATGCATAATTTTTGTCCACCTGGTTAAACTAATCAGTGTCATGCATTTTCTTCTCAACTTTTTGTCTCAAAAATCCATCAGTCAAAAAAATTTTATCAAATAATTCCTAGTATACTATTATTAGTATAATCCATTTTGTATGATCAATTTCAATTATTTTTTTACTTAATTGCGAAATAATTTTTTGTTGTTTTTCTCATTTTACTAAAATGTCCTGATGGTTTGAAAATGTATTTACTTTTTCATTTTTCACTTGTGTAATAATAGACATTAGCTAAAGTTTGTGTGGTCCATTTAAACAGGAAATTATCATTTTTAAAGCTTTTGCTAATTATTTGAAAATAATGAATCATTTCCACAACTGACAGTTTTTCACAAGTATAAGTTGCATACAGATTGTCTATGCTTAAATCATAGGTTCTCAACCTTTTTAATGTTGCCGCCCCCTCAAGGAGCAAAAAACATTTCAACGCCCCCCTTTGTTATTTAGACTAGAGCATGGGAACGGAGGGACGTGTGCTGTGTTATGAAAGACAAAATTTTTAAGCAATATTTTTACGCTTTAAATTTGTTTGGTTTTTAAAAAAAGAATAAATTAACTAGATAATTTTCTCACGGCAGGTAATCACAGTCTATTTGTTATGATCAAAATAAATACGTTTAATGAAGAAAAAAAATACAACAAAGAAACCTATAGTTAAAAATAATAATTTATTCTTAATTAGATAATTAAAAAAACACCCAAAATAATTTTTTCCACTAAAAAGTAATATTAACGAAACATTCAAGTAACTATGTTAGTGGGATGATTGTACTTAATGGTTCAGACAGTAATTCCTTAACACTCGGTTTAATACTTTTAGTGAGATGAAGACGCAAATACCCTCGTTGCACAATTTCAAGTCGATTTCTCCTTTTTGTGACAAGATCCGTAACAGTACTGAATCCCCGTTCAACAAATTAGGAGGCAGGGAAGACAATTAAAAAAAAAATTTAACGATTGTCTACAGTCCAGGATAGAGACGACTGATGTTACCTTTTAGCAAAAATTCTGTGACACGATCACCATTTTAAAGTTTTATTAGTTAAAAATTCGACCAATTCCTCGTAAATCTGAACCTCTGCTGTTTCAATATTTACAAAAGGGTTCAAAACTCAAAAGTCCATTGAGGGACTTCTAGAGAACAAAACGTCTTTAAAAGGGTCAGAAAAGTCCATGTGCCAAGAGTCAAGGTGTTGACAATATTCTTATGCGTCATCAGAGAGAATTTCACCTGCTTGGCTGAACTCTTTCCAACCAAAATTCTGCTTCCACAAAATGAGTTTTTTCAGAAAGGCTGAAATAACTGATTTTGTAGGGATCAAATTGAGTTCGTTGCCTTGAAATTTTAAATTAACCGCCATTAAATTTTACAGATAAATCAGCCAAAGTATTTCATAAATTCTAGCAATCTGTCTCTCAGAGCTACATTTCTGTTTTCGAGGAACTCAAGCACAGAGTCGAAAAGATTCCAATACCTATTGAGACAGAAGCTTTTGGAAAGCCAGTGAATCTCGGTTTATAGTAGCAAGCGTCTGGATAATCAATCATAGACAGCATTACTGTGAATTTTGTTCACAGCAGATATGGCATATTGCAATGATTGATGTAAACGGTCACTGAGATTTTTTCCTACTAAATGCTGTCTGTCAATCACGCAGTGAACAGTTAAAACCACCCTGGTACCACCCTGTCCAAAAGGACAATAAACTCACGATGTCAACCCACCATTGCAGGAGCCTATCAGTGGCAATGGACATAATATTCGCAAGAGGAATGTTTTTCTCTTTAAAATAATCTTCGACAGTATTAAAAATAGATATACCTTTGATATCTATATGATCAAGCTTCTTGCAAAAAGCATATCTTGAATAATGTTTCCTACCTTTACAAACCGGACCTATGCCTACATTACCTGGCAAGGTTGATTCATCAAATTAAAGGAAAAATTCGTTGGATATCAAAAATTTTCTGGAAGAAATTTGAACGTCTTCGGCCATCTCATCATTTTGTCACCGTACTGAATCGTCGTTTATGGGATGTTTTTTTATTGCATTGGATGCGGCTGGCTGGTGTAAAACAGTTACTTAAACTTCCTTGATAACCAGCAGTATCAACTCTACTTCGATGGTATGAGCTTTCCCACATTTAGCTATAAATTTTGATATATTATAAGAAGCTATCAATCCATCATCTCATTTTTGTGATGAGGTTGCTAGTAACCCTGAGACCGAAGATGCCTTCAGAAACGTGAAACAAGATGTGTTTGAGAAAAGTGACAAATCTATATTTTGTTTGTCAGGATAAGTTTTTTGCAAATGCTGCTGCTAACGGTATGATTTCATTACCTCATTAGATAAAACTTTATTACAAAGTAAACACATGGGTAATTGAGAGTTCAACAGTGATTGTACAAATCCCAACTTCAAGCACGTGGCACTGTATTGATGACACTTCTTTTTGTCAATCGACATTGTTAGTGTAAGCAAAATGCAGACGATGAAAGAAAATCAACTATTTCTCAAAATTAATAAATAATTTATGATAAAGAACTAATTCGCGCACGTACCTGGCCAAATAAACTATGAGACTAATCAAAACTGGGCAAAAAACCGCAAGGAAGCTTAAGAAACACGGGTCCAGTCAAACATTCATAATGAAAGCGCATGCACGGCTTGAATGAATCAGAGGCAAAAACTACTGACTCATGCGCTGAGCTGTGTTGGTTTGGATCGAAGAATAGGTGTCTTTTAAGTTTGTTTTATAGCTGGTACAACGGTGTATCGGATAATCCTTATTTATTATATTAATTTAATCTTTTTTCTTTAATATTAATTTTAGATTAATTTTATTTATTAAATAAATCTTAATTTAATAATTTTATTTCTAAGTTTTAAATTTGAATGACAAAACATGCTCATCGCCCCCTACCGCCCAAAACATACCCAACGCCCCCCTACTGCCCAAAACAAGTTCACCGCCCCTCAGCATACTCCCACCGCCCCCAGGGGGGCGGTATCGCCCCCGTTGAGAACCAATGGTTTAAATTAAACAGTATTGAAGGTGACGAAAAGGCATAACAAAGGTAATTTCTGTAAAAAGAAAGTTGAGAAAAACTAAATTTGTGCTTGTACAAAAATATTTCTTTATTTTCCCTACTTATTTTCTAGTAAAGCTACTGTTATAGTATTCTTAGTGCTGCTAGACAATGTAAATTTTAGTATATAGTCTGTAATAATTGTCATATTAGTCAAGTAAAAATATATTAGTTTAGTTAGAATATATTTTCGCAATTTCTTAAAATTCTTCTTTAAACTCTTTGGTGTTAATTATCAAACTTAACAACACTAATATATTTTATTAAAAATAATTTACATTTTAAATAGATGATGTAAAATAAATTAAAATTTCATTCTATTTCAGTATGTAAACCTACATTAGCTCATGGTGCACCTATTTCCCATCAGGTATGAATCTTTTATAAATTTGTTTATTAGTTAGTATTTGCAAACTAATTCATCTTAATAAACATCAGAATACTTAATAATAAATACATTAAACTCAAACTTAATTAAAAAAAATAATGCTCCTATCGATTTGAGTTTTTTTAAATGAAAAAATTATTATGTAGTTAATCTTTTTGAAGTAAATATCTAGCTGTTTTTTTTTTGTTTTTTTTTAAAGTTTTTTTTAAACATTATTAACGTGTTTGCAACAGTAAATCTTAATCTTAACCATGAATTGAAACTGCATTATTTATTTATTTATTCTCAATGAGAAATGTTTCAATCTAATTATCTAATTGTCTGTTAGTATTTTACTATTTATTTTAATTATTATTTCCTGACTTAGAAAATTAAAATTAATACAAACTTAAATCGAACAATTTTGCACCATCCATCATTTAAATATTAAGTCTTCTTTTTTTGTGACTGGATATTTAGATTAATTTTTTTTTAGCTTGAATTAATCATCGCCATTATTTCTGTTATTTTTGTAAAGCTCATTAGTTTAAAGAAAGATAAGTACGATTACTTGTGATTTATATGATTTGCAATTATTGCTGTGATTTTTACGATTACACACAAAGACTAATATAAGTGTGATAATTTATATACAAATATGAATATTACAAATGCAATATCGTTAATACAATAAATTAATGAAAGGTTGCATTAAAGAGTCAAAATTTTTCTTCATCATAAGAAAAAAAGAATTCCCTTCGCATTTTCTATGCTGTTATTAAAAAAACTTCTTTTAACAAAATGAAACTTTCATTGATCCTTGATTTCACAAAATATTTTTGATTTGAATGTGATAAACATAAGATATAATTGAAGAATATTTAATTTATAATTAAAATATTTCATTTTTGTTTTTTTAATCAATGCTGAAACTGTGTACTTCATGTCTCTTCATTTTTTTTAGATGAGTCTTATCTTTAACAAAGAAGGTTTGAAGGATATCTCCCCTCCTTGTGTTGTGCAAAAGATAATCAATCATAATGCTGTCCTTTATAAACTGCTAATTATTGGTGATAAATATTTCATAATTGAAAGACCTTCACTGAAAAATTTGTATGCTAGTGGTAAGTGTAATTTTTCTACTTATTAATTTTTTTGTAATTAAAACTTTTTTAGCACTTATATTTTTATATTGTTTTCATTTACTTCATGCAACAGGGTGCATAGTGTTTTTGAAAAGTGCTTAAAGGTGCTTATTTTCGTTTTTTAGAAAACCTTGAGGAGTATTTTTTTATTGGATATTTTTAAAAATTGCTTAATTTTGCCATTTCCAAAATGAGATCTTTCTTTACCGTGTCGATTTTTGCCACAAATTATGCAAATAGCATGGTATACATATTGTTCTATTCAGTGTTTTCATGCTTCATTCAACCACAATCCATTTCTACGTACCGTCGTTGCGTAGCATATGAAGGTGCCAATCATTTTACATCTTTGATGAAATATTTGCGGGTTCACATGTGTGTATACTGAGCTAGATTCAGTGGGAAGGATTCTTACACCCTCATGTGCAACTTCACTGCATTTTGCAAGAGATTTTCAATTTCAGGCTTCATTTTTCGCCCTCAGAAATCGATTTGAAAAATCTTTAGAATTTTTGCAGGGGACCAGTTAAGCCTTGTCAAATTTGATTCTCTTAATTAGCAAAGGAAAATTTGATTTCTCTTGTTACTTTGATCATTGGTGGAGCGTCATCGTCTTCATCACTGGCAAGCAAGTTGCCTTTTAGCACTCTTCTATTTATAGATCAGTACCAAAATCCTCATAATTTCCATCTCCCTTTTATTCATTTAATTTAATAAAGATAATTGAGATTTTTTATCTGAAGGACCATCCAATACTTTTTTTTTGTTATTTTTTATTTATTTATTGCTTTTATTATTGTATTATTACTTTTAAAATTTTCGGTGCTCTTAATCTGTTTTATGAAAAAATTCAATAATATTTAGAGACAAGATTTTAACAAAATATGAAGTGAAAGACTTTCACAATTTTAAATTCTGTCAAAACTCTTGTGTTATTCAAATTTGTCATTCCAAGAAATTTTAATTCATCTTTATTAATGATTTGATGTAAAAACAATTGAAGTGAAAAATTCAACTATCTCAGATTTGTTAAATATTATGAGTGTAGGGACCATATACGAATTTACTTCTGACAAAAATGTTTAGGTTCAATACTCATTGTATTTAAATTTTAAAATTATTTAAATTCTTTTTTTATCATTTCATTAAAAAAATACTAAAAATTTAATAAAAATTTATTAGGGGCCATTCACTGTTTCGCATTTGTAATATAAATTTATTAAAGTTTTCTTAGTTGGCTTAATTCTGTACATATCTTTATAAATTAATTCTTTACATTTCTTTATATTCTTTTACATATCTGTACATATTGATGACCAGATTAATAATATTATTAATTTATTTTGATTAGCTTAATGTGAAATGGTTTTCAATATAAAAAAATGCTTTTATGTATACATTTGTGCTTTAATATATTCTGAATTAATTTCTACATTTGTTAGATCTGGACTTAAAATCATAATTAGATAAAGAAAGAGTTTTTAAACCTCATTCAATTGTACTATTTTAATAATTATTTTATTATATTTTAAGTAAGCAAAATTTCTCTTACTATTTATCATAATTCTTATAAGAATTAATTATCATATGCATTGTGTAATAATCTTATAATTATGAGATTAATCCATAAGTAATGCACTCATGCTTATAAAGCTATATAATTATGGGTTTTTATAAGACACATGATAAGAGCTCTAAATCAGAACAAAATTTATGAGAAAATGTTTATTACAAAATAAATTATATGATTATTTTTTATTCAATTCAGTTTTATGATTTTTTTTGTAAACCTGATAATTTTTTAAGCGCCTTAATAAACAAAGATGGAATTGCAATAAATATGCAATAAGAGCTATCTAATGATTGTGGTTGGTAAAATACAGATAAATGTTGCTTTTTTTGCATAAAGTTATACATTCTAATTCAGGGATGATTGTATTTCAAGTTTTTTGTATTATTCAGAAAATAGATTTTTTCTGTGTTATAGATCTTTCATGTGAACAAATTTTGAGTTATTCAATGAAAAAAATAATGAATTGATGATAATGATAATCAACGTTTTCTTATAGGTTGAATGACAATTAAAGAACTAAGGAATGTTTAGTATTATAAAATATATTTATGAAAAATAAATAAAAGTGAGATGACAGGGATTTGAACTTTCTCTTTTGTGAATGAAATTACATTTTTTTCTTCTATAATGTAAAGAATTAGTACACTAAACAATAACATTAAAAAACGAGCCATTCAAAAATTCCTTCTGATATTCTTTTCAAACACTATTATTTAGCTTCCCCAATATTCATAGTTTATTCTTCTCCCGAAAGTTCGTTTTTCTTTAACTGCTCCTGTCTTTTCCAAATCTTGTAATGTACTTATTGAGACGGAATAAATGTTTAGCTATCAGAGAAGTTGAAAGAAGAAATAAACAATAATTTCATTTTACTATACTCTTTTTTTTTTTTTGAAAATGGAAAAAGTTATGTTTATTTTGATTTTTAAATATTGTCCAGAAATGGGACTTTGTACTATATGAAAAATCAATGTAGCATATTTATTCCCAATTTTTCTTTTATTTGGCTACAATAAAATTAATAAATTTTATTAAATCTAGTTGTTTTTAACTTGTAAGTAAGAAATATAATAAAAGGATTTTTTTTTTTCTTTCCCCTTTTCCATTTTAGATCAGAAGACAATATTTTTTGATAGTAATGATATATCTAAACCGCACTCAGCATGTGAATTGACAGAGGTTTGTGAAACTAATTTTTTTTTCATCTTACATTTTCCTTTACTCTAAAATTTACTTCCTTTTTATATTTTATGGAAACTTTATAAAGTTATTTTTGAAAACCTTTAAAATAAGTTAACTATAAATTAAAGTTGAATATAAATTTTTCAATCATTTTAATATTAACTAAAATTTTTAAAACACTCATCTAAGAAATTAGATACAAGTCTTAAAAATTCAGTCTTACAGCCTTTTAATTAATATTTAATTAATCATGATCAGCTAAAGAAGATAAATTAGTTGGTGATTAATCATTACATAATTATTTTCATGCTGATTTACTGTTTTTCATGTATTTTTAGATATTTTTGAACGTAAAAAATATTTAAATGAATAATTAGAAATAATTATAAGTGCTTTAGTTCTAGCCATTTTCATTAAATATTAATGATTATATAGGCCAGGGGTTTTCAACTTACATATGGCCGTGGGCCACAATTAAAACATCAGTCAAATGGCGGGTCAAAATTTTATATAGGACTTTTTTCTGTTTGAAGGAACATTAAATATTACCGTCAGATTTTTATCAAGTTGTACAAAACAAGCGTATTGAATTACAAATTAAAATAAGAAGTATATTTTTAAGCAATATGCAGGATTAATTTTGTATTTGAATAAATATTTTCTTGGATGCAAAACTTGAGAAAAAAATTTTTTTGTACCATTGGTATGTTAAATTTCACAGAAATGAAGAAAAAAAAATTTTTTTTTCAATGACAGAAAAGTACTTTAAACCCATATAGATTTTTTACAAAAAATGACAACTAATATATTTTAGTTCACGGGCCACAAAAAAGGCTTTGCGGGCCGCCAGTTGGTAACCACTGATATACGCTAATGGTTTCTAATCCAAACATTTTATTAATTTCAGTGTCTTATTTTAAATAAGACTCTACTTTTCTAATTTAAAATTTTAATTATGCCTTGTGAATTCTCTTTTAATTTTTAAATATTTTTATCATTTCACAGTTGGATGCTAATGAACCATATTCACCAGCTGTATTTCCTGAAAAAGAAGCTATGGATAAAATTGTTGAAATCCTTCATGACATTATTGGCTTAAATCTTCTGAATATAGATGTCATTGTTGATAACAAAGGTGGTCGATATGCTATTGTAGACATTAATGTATTTCCAGGTATAATATTTTATGTCTAATATTTTCAAATTATTTAAGCAATTGTTTAATGTTTTTAAAGCAAAAAATAGCTTAAAAAATTTTACTTGAATTGATAGCAGAGCTTGATTGATTTTAATTTACAACACAATCGCAATTTAATTTGAAAAGCTCAAAATAGCTGCTTGAACTGCTTTAAAAAATAAATATATTTTGTGGAAAAATTTTATTTAAATATTTATTTCTATAATCTTTATTTTTAAATTATGAGCTCACCAATACTACAAATGTTGTCAAAGCTCATAATGTGTTAAAAAAAGTATCATATTATTTTCTTGAAGTTTAGTATCAGCCTTTAATCTTCATGCTTAATTCAATTGATATATTCAAAAAAAATTATTAAAAAGAATTACATGTATATTAAAAGGAAAAATTAAATTTTAAGTAATAGGAAAAATATACAGTATAATTTTACTTAATGCTTAGCATTATAAATGCATACAGGTGTGAGATCCAAGTGTGTTTGAAATTAGTTTCTAATACAACAATCCAGCTTTTACATTCTATTGTTCATTATATAACCATAGGTTTTCAATGATTTATTTTAAGTCACTCATGTTGAAAAATCACAAAACTGTGTAAGAAAGCTCATAACATCCTCAAAATCAATAAGCTTGACTCTTAGTTCATAAAATTTTGATTAATTTCATAGACTCAAATTGTGCATTTGGAGCCTTTTTGATTGCTACACATAAAGAAGGTTGAACCTAAACAGGGTTTGGTGTACACGATGGCTGTTTTCTGATATATTTTTTTCTTTATTTAAGTAACATAAATATTGAGTCTGTTCTGTGATACAAAGCTTTCGGAGCCCACACCAAATATTGTCAACTTTTTAGGAGTTTAATGGTTGTTAATCTTTTTACTGTTGATTTTTTGATTAATGCAATTCATAATTTTCATGTGGCGTATATCTTTATTTGATAATAATTCTTTTATATATTTCTTTCAGATGATTAAACTAGAATAAAAAGTTTAAATCTCAAATTTATATGAAATGTTTTTTTGTATTTTTGATAAAAAAAAAAAGAGAGAAATATTGCCAGTGCAGCGTTGTTAAATATTTAGTATTAAAATGAGGAATTTGTTTTCAAAGCATTTGAATTCTACTCAAAATCATTTATTTATAAAAGATAAGGAAAGAATATCTCCACTCTTCTCTTAATATAAAAACTGATGTAAGTTTTCAGTTTGTTTTTGAATGGCATGGTCTGAACAGTTGGAGCGGGCTTCAAAAGCTCCGTTTCTCAGATATTCGAGAACTGACCCAATGTGTAGTACAATGTATAATACACAGTCTCCTTAATCTATATTTCTTTTATCCCCTTATATCATATTTTTAATTTCTTATATAATGTAACATAAATGTGAAAAAATATTTCAGGCTATCCAGAGGTTCAGAATTTCTACGACCTGTTGTGTGAGTTGGTTGTTAGAAAGATTCAATTCAGATTAACTGGGGATCCTGAGCCGCCTTTTAAACCAGTCCTACTCAATTGCCTTTCCTCACCAGTGATTGCTATGAAGCGAGATCAAAAATTCAGCTTTGACTTGCAAGATAATCATGCCCAGAACTCTTTTAATAACATCCATATGCCAAAATGCTTCTGCTGTCCAATTTCCGGCAGTAGTTGCAATTCTGTTAATCATATGCCTAAGTCTACAACGAATAAATTCGCAGGTGATCAAACTGTTTTGTTTAGCAAACCTAACAATGAATTCACAATGATTCAGAAACACAACGGGGCCCAAGATGATTCTGGAATAGAAACGTCAGATTCATGTGACGAAAAGAAATCGGAGGCTCGTTGTAGAGCAATAAAACACCAACATTCCAAAAATACCATTCATAATTGTGCTATTGTTAGTGAGTCTGATCAATTGATCGATAGTATCTATTATGGTAAATAAGTGCAATTGTGTGCACTTCTGTTTAAATATTTCATCTTTGAATTGTATTTGCTAGTTTGATTAAACGAGCTTTAACATGTTGTATTGTATACATGTTTCTGAAATATCTGTTATATTTATCGTGAGAGATGTACTATTTTCTAAATACAGTAGACTCTCGACTATCTGTTCTTATGTGACAAAAGGGTAGAATGGACAACAAATTAGCCAGATAACACAAAGTTTCACTTTCTATCCCCTCTCTCACATAATAAAAACTAAAACACTTATTACACATTTTAAAGTAAATGATTGATATAAAAATAGTCAATGTTTATTTCGTGTAAAAAGTTGTTATAAATTTGAAAAGTAATGAATGGGAAGAGTTAAAATGTACACTGCTTTTGTGTTCCTCATTTTTTCCTCCTCTATGAGTTTTGCAAACAACCAATTCCATCATTTCTCAATTTTTACAAGACCGAATAGTCGGGAGCCTAATGTATTCTTCAGATTCAGATACCTAGCATTAGTTTTATTTATAAGCTGGTATAATATTTAGTTTTAATTTAAAACATCTTTGTGTGGGAAATATAACCTGCAGTTGATTTTCTGTTTAACTTTTAGATGCAGAAGAATAAGATATAGGTTTTATCTTTCCTATATATGTATAACATATAATTTTAAGCAGAAATAAAAGTTAATTCTTGAGAATTTTGTTTAGATCTGTGGAACATACAGTGTGCAAAGTTATTTTTAAAGGCTAAAACATTTTTATCTCAAAAGTTTTGTTAAACAAAAAAAAGACATTTAAGGTATTTTATCCTTTTTTTTTTTTTTTAATATTGATCTTAAATTGACAGCTGAGCGCTAAGTTTTTTCTCCTCGTTGTATGTCTCTTTTTAAAAAAATTAAAACTGAAAAAAAATCTAAAAATTAATTTGTTTGAAGAAAAAATGTAAGTAATATTAACTTGTTTAACATATTTGCATATTGTTGTTTACTTATTTTTATTTGTGATGAGATGAATTCTTGTTGCATTTGTTTGTTGTGTTTATATAAAGTTTAAGCTATGCGTTTCCATGTAGTGTAGATGTGTGTGTTGTAATATACTTAATAGATACTGATTATTAATATGTAATTTTATTTAATATATTTAATTACTGGTAAGTAATTTTTTTAAATCTTTATAAAATGAAAATTTTTCTATGACTGTCATTGTCATATGTTTTTAATGCCTTAAATTTCAATTTTTATAAAGAAACTTTTTCTTTAAAATATTACTAATTTTTAATTTTTGTGCCTGTTTTCTTCCAGCTCTGAACTTTCATTTTTTTAAGACTTATTGTTTTTTATTATAGTTATTTTTAATTAGAATGCATTTCAAGATTATTTGATAATATACATATTATCTGTAAATATTTGGGTTTCATGCTATTACTTACATTTTATTTTTAAAGTTGTAACATTTTGACTACTTGTTGAGTTTTACAATTGCTTTTTTAATCTTTTACATGTGTGTTGAAATTATTTTCCACTTAAATTTTGTGATATATTTCAATATTTTTGTGTGATATTCTTGTTTAAATTATAATCCTGCAGCATGTTCATGATTTTGCATTAAATGCAAAATTATTTGTCATAATTTTTTTATTATTATTCAGCTTAAATTAGGTAGTGCAGGACATCACTACTTATAGAATTAACAATAAATAGCATTCCTTTTTATTTTTAAGCAACTTTTAAATTATTTTTCTAAAAAATTTTATGATTATTCACCTAAAATTAGATAATACAGTGCATTCTTGCTAACAAAACTGTAATTATTTTGAATATTCCTTTAAAAAAATTTCTAATTTAGTAAAACAGCATAAAAAAAATTTTGTTTAAAATTTTTTTTTTATCATAAATAAAACCACGCTCATAGCGTTGATCTTATTTTATTGGAACCTTTAAGTAACTTTTGCTTTAATTATGTTTCATAATTTTTTGAGCTAAAAATAATTTTAAGCACGTGATTCCTGATTTAAAAAACATTATTATTATATTCTTTGATCCTTAGATTAATGATTAAATTTTTTTAATAATATTTTAGCTCGTTGTATTAAAGGTCAATATTTTGAGAGTTAAGCATTATTTCATTAACAGGTTTTTAATATCATACTCCTGCTTTTTTACAACTCTTTACAAATAAAAATGATATGTTTTTAAAGAAACAAACACAAAAAGTAAAAGATATCATCATTATTAAAATTATCTGATTATGAGGGACTTAGTTTAGTCTAGGAATAATTGATTCCTTGCCACCCATGTTCCTATTATTCTGGTATTAATTAGAAGTTATTCAGAATTTCTATTTGTATTAATTTACAAACAAGGAATAAAAATAAATTTTATAGCATATTAACAGCTTAGAATTTTATAGTTAAAAATGTTTTACAAATAAGATATTCAAAATATTACTTGACATTTTTAATTGTTATAAAATACATTGACTTTGATAATGTAAAAAGCAAGATGCATTATTTATTATAATTTATAAAATCATAGTTGCAATGTGGCTAAAATTTAATTGTCCCAGAGACAACTTCACAAAATCTTGTCTTTTTTTTATTTTTTTTATTTTTAAAGACTTAAAACAAAACTAAAAAATTGCTGTTGGTTCTGTTAGACTACTGTGAGTATTTATAAGTTTTAAAATCATTTTTAATGGATAGCCATCTGAAAAGAAAATGGAAAATAGCTCCCTGTGGTGCATTCTATCCAGTCAGCAAAATCCACTAGTTTTTCCATAAATAAAATATTAAAACATATTAATTGGTTGCTTTAATAATTTAAATAATTCTCTAATTGCAGAATAAGTGATAGAAGCACACATTTACTTACAAAATTTAAAACCTAAGTTGCTGTTGTAATATGGAGCTCAAATTTTTTTTAAACATTTTAATGCATCTGAGCAAACACCAAAAAACCTTAATGTTAAGGTTTTTTGTTACTGATTAATTTTCATTAATCAGTAACAAATACTAACTAAAATTTCCACTTTTATTTTGTGTTTAATTTAAAAATTTAATTTTAGATAGCAGATTTAATTTAAATTTAGATTTTGCTTCAGTTTTCCTCTTCAAACTTTGATTTTACATAATTAGCTAATTGTTTAGTTCAGATTTTCTTCTCTAAATGTTGTCATCCATAAATAATTAGTTTTTATATAACTTATCCTAAAATTTTTAGGTAGTTATGAAATTGTTCTTCAGCTTTTTACTCGAATTTTTATCATACAAAAATAATTCATTTTAATCTCACTTAATTTTAGTGTCTTGCTTTTATTACTATTTAGAACTTACACAATTTTTCAATATCATAGAACATTTAAAATTAAGGTTACATTCTTTCCGATTATAAACCGAGTTTAAATAGTTGAAGTATATAAAATACTATTTTAATTCTATCTTTATTTCTGATAAAAATTAACATTATTTAATACAACACTGTGAAAAATAGATGTTTCAATACAGTGAATTAAAATTTTAGTCTGTGTTGCAAAACTTATTTGATGATATATCTGAAATATTCGATATATAAACATAAATTATATTGTATGTATTATCTGAACATAAAAGATTACTTGTTTAATTTTTGTATCTTAATTGACATTTCTTTACTGCGATATGTGTACTAACTCAGCCTTGAAAATATGTCATTTAAGTTGCATAATTTTCAAGTATGTAAAATTGATTTAAAAAAAACTTGTACAATTTACATTTGTTACCTAAACACATTTATGGTATATAGGTAGTTGTAACTTTTATTGGCAGCTAAGTGTTAATTCTATAAAATTGTGTACAAAAAAATTCAAAGGAAAGTCTAGAAGTGTTACTTCCAAAATGAATTTAAATTTTATGTATGACTGCATCTGAAATACAAATACGAATTATAGGCTAAATTAATTTTAGTTTATTTTTAGGTGAAAATTATGTTTTAAGCTTTTAAATTGATGTTATTCTGATAAAATATTACCAATTAGATGCAATTCATCACTGAATTTTTTTATCTCCTAGCTAAAAAGTCTGCTTTCATGTTATTAAGAGGAAATGAAATCTGATGTGTGAGATAAATAGTTTCTTATCAATTTGAAACTGAATTGCAATCTATATAGCAAGTTAAAATTTAGCTCAATAGCTAAACTAAGCTCATCATAGCATTTTATTTATTTCCTTAAATTTAAAATTTTATTGTGTTACCACTTATTTATACAGTTCATTCCAATAATACTTCTGTTTTAACCTTAGGGTGATTTTTAACCAATACCAAGCAGGTCATATAATTAAGTGAACAAGAGTATTGTAAGAACCTGGTTCTTTTTGATCCCTTAGAACTAGTGACTTATATTTCTGCAGATCTTTGTACCAAGTGTTAGTGATCACACCTTTTTGTAGTTTTGTGATCGACAATCCTTAATCTGTGTTTAATTTTACTAAGCGGTTGTCAGAAAAAAGGAACACTTTTAATTCAGTTTTTATAAGAGGTGCAACCACACCATCATGAATTACATTTCAAAAGTTTAGCTTATCAGAAATAATGCCTTAAATTCTGAACATTCCATAGAAGGAAAAATAATGGTGGGTAGCAAGTCACCTTTTTAGCACATAGAGTAGAACCCCAATTATCTGACGCTCAATTAAAAGATACTTGGGTTATCCGACACCCCTTTAATTCTGGATTAGAGACTCATGTTGTTAAAGTGAATCTAAATCATAGTTTAATGTTTATACACTTAATAAATTGTCTTAATATTTATACACTTAATAAATCCTCCGATTCTTTAACGATTTCCATTATCTGGGAAACCCCCTCTCCTGAGAGCATCAAATTATTGGGGCTCTACTGTAATTACATTTATCACAGTTATTATTTATGTATATATTTACTCTAATATATATTTTCTAATATATATATATCTATATATATATATCTATATACTCTAATATATATATCTATATATTTTTATTTACTTTAAAAATAGCATGCGGGCCATTATTTTTGTTTTAGAATCTATTGAGAAACGAAGAAAAAGTATTAAGATCTAAGCTGTAAAGTATTATATAAGGAGATTATAAACAAGATCTCAAATGCCAGAATTAAGAGAGTATCAATTATTGATAACTTCATCTATTGAATTATCAATCAGTAGTGTTGAGTAATACTTGGTGATGTATCGGGATAGCTCTTCTTGTCTGTAGAAAAGTGGCATCCATTTTCTTAGGTTAATCTCTGTGATAGCATTAATAATTAATTACTGTATTATTCACATAAATTTTAAGTGAAATTGCTGACAAGAAATATTAATTTTAAACACTGCTGAAAAATGGATATTTTTCTTTTGTTGTTCTTTCGTTATGTAATTTATGTTAATAATAATAATTAAAACAATTAATCGAAAATATAGGTAATTTCCAGGAAAGGTAGCTGCTTTTCCAACTCTTTAATTCATTTAAAATAATACTTGTAAAATAAATTCGCAACAAAGAATTTTCATTGCAAAAGAAATGTGTGAATATGTGGATAGTTGAAAACATTTATTTTTGATAGACTTGTGTATAATGAATTGCATTTTTAAAATAATAAAAATTTATCTTTTAAAATTTTATATTCCACTTGCATATTATTAATTTGAGTATTTGAATTAAATCTGTAGCAACTGTTATTAATATGAAATATCAAAATTTAAAAAAAAAAGTTTATTTTTATAGACATTTTGAAGTTTGCATTCTTAGACTTTCCCTCTCAATAAATGATTATCTTTCTTAGATATCTTTGTTGTAAAAAATAATCTCTGTAAATAGATTCGTTTGTATTTTTCAGAATATTAATAAAGAGAAACTTATCTCGCATTATTCTTCTTCACTTTATTTATTATATCTTTCTAAAAGTTCAGCTAAGATGATACAAAATGGATTTTAAAAAATTATTCAGAACTAAGTTTTCTATGGACATTCATTTTAAAATTCAGAAGTTTATTTCAATTTCTCTGTCGAGTGACAGTGTTAGTTTTAATTTTAAACTAGTTTCATATATAAATACAGAAAATCTTTATAATGCAAACCTTGAGATATCAGGCTTAGTTTTGTAGATCATTTCACATCTCATCTATTTACTAGTCATATTCATTTATGTGTGTAACACAGAGGTCTATTTAACAAAAGCTGGGGTCAATCTGGGCCTGGGGGTCGGAGAAATAAGTTCTTAATAAGCAAATCACATATACCTAATTGAGTAAGTAAAATTTGTGAATTTTTTTAGAATTGACTTACTATCAGTTTCTTTATAGAACATAAATTAATAAACGTATATTTATTCGGGTGAAACAAGTATTTATGTACCATCGTTAACTCAAATTGGTAAACATTGGATTTGTTGATTTGGAAAACATAGATGTCCCTGATTGGATTATTGTGCCATTTTCAGCTAAATTGAAAACGTGGACATCAACCTGCAAGATGAGCTTGTTGAATTATTATCGGATCTTGAAGGAAAGACGCTTTTTAAAAATTTAACAATAAGCAAATTTTTTTGACAAATATAACGCAAAAATATGTAAAACTTTACGAAATAGCTCAGCCATTTCCAAGTTCCTATATGGTTGAAGCCGGTTTCAGTCACGTAAATTCAATCTTAACTGAGTACAGAAATAAATTAAATGTGGAGTTTCTAGGGAATTTAAGATTAAACCTGACCAATTTTGAACCCAGTATAGAGAACCTTGCAAAAAAACACCAGGCACACCCATCTCATTGATTAAGAAGCAATAAATCTGTAGTTACTTTACTTATTATTTAATAAATATTAAGGTATTTAAATTTCAACATTAATATATTTTTCATAAAACTATTGTTACACAATGTACTATAACTTTAATAAATGTTTAAAATCATAAAATAAATATACAAACATAGTATCTAATACAGGGTTCCCACTTATTTAACAAAGCAAAAATTAAGGACTTTTTTAAATAAAAATTAAGCACTTTTTTTGGAAAATTAAGGACCATAAGACTATTTTTAAAAATAGTATTGATTGTTTATCATCGAATATATATGCACCACAAGTTACAGTGCCAATTATTTACCTGTTTTAAAAAAGAAAATCAATAAATAAAAAAAATAAACATTTTTTTAAATGTAAATACTGGTGTAATTGTATTAATTAACAATGCTCATCAAAGCTGGACCAGGCAATTTTTGGCAAACCAGGGTAGAGTTTTTTTTAAAAATATTTTTCAGATTGTTAAGGGTTAAAGCCATCCATAAAACGAATATATATTTCATTTTTAATGATTTAATTGAAATTGAATTGTAAAATTAGGATTTACAATTTTTTTCATAATTTTAAGAAATGAGTAAATAAAGAAATTTGGTAAAAAATTATTACAAGTTTTTAATAAATGCTATTAATAAAATATTTTATTTATATTAAATGGTTATTAAATGAATTAATACTAAGAATTAGAGTTATGCATGAGAGTAGTTTTCTAACTATGTTAACTTAACTTAAATTAGGTCCTACTAAAACAGACCATACTAAAAATCTAAGCACCTTAAATCATTCCACTTTTTTTTTATTAAGCTTAAAAGAAAATTTTTTAGGTCATTGCACTAAAGATTTGTATGAAAATTTTTATAGAATAAGAAGATTTACAATTATTTGCTGATTTTGATTATTTGACAGATAATTTTCAAACCAATATGTTTATTAGTTCTCAGTGAAACATAAATAAAAGGGTCCAAAACGATTTTTTAAAGGTATCAACAAATTTCTATGGCCTTTGCCTGTAGCCCCCTCACACATATCCTTTATTGTCTCTCTAAAATGCCCAACTCTTGATGCATGGACTAATCCTAGTTAATAAAAGAACAACTTTTTGTTATAAAAAATCGACTTGAAAAATTGTTTCTATCAACTATAGTGACCCTGTGGCAGAATTTTCTCAGACTTTCTGTGACAAACTTCCCCACAATTAGTATTTTTCTGCAAGATACTTTTAATTATAACAATTAGTAATTTAAAGTAACAAAAAAATTGTGTTTACAGAAGAAAGTATAGAGTAAAAATGTTTAAAAGTTTTTTTAATTATAAATGTAGTATTTTTTAAATTCTTATATTATAGGCGAGATTCTCGCATTTTGTAGGACTAATTATTATAACACACGTTAATTATTTCCTCTTTCGAATTTTGTAAATCCATTACATAATTAAAATTCGCAAATGAATGAAATGATTATTAATTAAAATTCGTACATAAATTAAAAATCTTAAAACCTGTGGCAGTAAAACCCGAAATAAAGATCGACGACTAAGTCACGCAAATAGGACTCTTTAAAAAAGAGAAGTTCAAATAAGTGTTTTGGTTGTTATAATAAATAAGATCGCATTAAAACATCGGATTTTAAACTTTGTGGAAATCGATAGCAATCACTGCCAAAAAATTGATAGAAAAATAATTGAATCATTATGTCAAAATATGTCTAAAATATATTGGAATAAAATATACATTGTGTCTAAAATATATCGGAATATTTTAAAACCGGAATAAAAGCAATATCAATAACTGCCTAAAATACAATCAAACACCACACAGTTTTATGATACTCTTAGCGTAAATTGAGTTTGTAAAGTTCTGGACCAATGTCGCCTTGTCACTGCAATTTTGTTACAGGGTATAGTAATGCTGAAAAATTAAGGACTTTTAAAAACCTTATATCATATTTAGGTTCTTTTAAGGGCCCTTATTCTCCAAAATAAAAATTAAGCAGTTTTTAAGGAGCGTGGGAACCCTGTAATAGAGTTTTATTTTAAGTAATAGTAAATTACTTTTATGGGTGTCGATGGAGATTTCGAAAAATTATATAGTGGTCGATGATCAAAAACGTTTGGCGAACCATGGTGTAACACAGTGTTTCCCAAACTTATGAGTTTTGCGTACCCTTTCTAAATTTTTCGTAACGCTGTGTACCACTCATTAAAAAATGAATGCATTTTTTACTGTAAAAAAATTGCGCAAAAGTTAAAAATCCCAACTGGCTATTGACACCGCTAATTATTAACTGTTAACTCTGCAAAAATAGCCAATGGAAAAATACGTAATCGTAAATTTTCATGGCTAGTTTTGTTTTTAAATAAAATTTTTTGAAATTTTCGTTTGTTGCAAGATATTTCGCATAAGAACGCGTACCCCCTCTAAACTGTTCCCGTACCCCAGAAGGTACGCGTACCACACTTTGGGAAACACTGGTAACAGATCAATTTTAATGCTTTAATACACATAAGTACAATGCACAAAATAAAAAACAAATCACCCTGAATAACTTTTGATCTTTCTAGGACTCAATCTTAATAATTTGAGAGAGTGACCTGAAATATGCTAATTAATTAGTGCAGTCGATATTTTAAGTTACGAATTCCGGCACAAAAAGTACACTTTCTCTGAATAAACATAACCTTTTCTACGGATTTGATCCCCTTAAATATAGCCCCAATAGTTTGGATCCTTTTATGTTAAATTTATATTTTGCATATCTCGAAAATTTTTTAAAATTTATGTAATTTTGAACTGAAATACTGGTAAAATTTTAACAAAACTAAAAAAAATTTCGAATTTTATTTTTAAAAAAAATCCGATTTAAATAAATTGAATAATTTTTTTTATATCAAGAGTTCTGATTTCTACATAACCCTATTTTAACAAATGAACTTCTACCATGATTCGACCTTCCATGTCATTCTTATAGTGGATTCTGCATAAAAATCATGAACTCTTTATTTTTGCCTACTAAATGTTTACATTTTTAAATACCCAAGAAACTTAAGCCTCATATTCAACCACCGTGCATTTGTTGAAGCAATTGCTTATCCGAATTGAAGCTAATATGTTTTCAGAAACAAGTATGAAGCTTAGTAAGAGATAGGATTCAAATCATCCAAGAAGTACCAAGTATAATCGAAAAGTTTAGAATAAACAAAATGTTTAGTCAATTAACTTTCTAAGATTTTTTGGAACAATTATACATCTTTTAAAAAGGGGCAACAAATTAAAAAGTATAATTTGCTCTTCTTAAGTTTCCAGAATAATTTATTAATGGAGCACAGAACAATTGAAATTTGCATAGTAATATTGCTTGAAAAATTCCATACAATTGAAATTGCATAGAATTTTTCAAGTACTAAAGCATTAAAAGAAAAATAAGTCAGTATCTCCATTATTCTTTGAATCGAGGTCCCGCAGTGGACTGACCGTTAAGACACGGTTCCCAGCAGATCACCGAAGTCAAGCATCACTGGCTGCGGTCAGTGTGCCGATGGTGACTACTTGGATCAGCCTGCGTAGGGACCGAGGGTGTGCGGTATTGGTCCTCGTTAAACTGGTCTACCATAAAGTGCTGGACTTCGCGTGCAAGGTCGTCGG